CATGATGCTTTTGAGATTCATCATGTTGTTGCATGTGTTATGCAAGTTTGTTCCTTGTTGTTGCTGAGTATTATTCCATTGTATGAGCATACTGTATATCAGTATCCATTTATCTGTTGATGGACATTTGTACTGTTTCCATGTTTTGGCTGTTGTGAACTAAACTTCTAACTTTTCAGAAGTGCTTTTACATTCCCACTAGCCGTGTACGCGAGTTCCAGTTGTTCCCATTCTTGCTGACATTTGCTGTTGTTGGCCTTTTACATTTTAGCCCTAATGGGTGTATAATGGTTTCTCATTGTGGTCTAAATTTACATTTCTCTTATGGCTAAGGATGATGAGTATCTTTTGGTCTGTTTATTGGCTATACATATATCTTCTTTTCTGAAGTGTGTCCAAATCTTTTACTCACTTTTAAAATTGAGTTGTCTTATTATTGGGATGTAAGAGTCCTTTTGATATTTTAGATACATTTAATCTGTCAGATACAAATTACAAATATTTTCTCCCATTCTGTGGCTTGCCTTTCTGTTTACCTGACCAGTTGTAATGTCATCAATATCATTGTTATGGATTACTTTACCAAAATAAGGAAGGAAGACTTGTCCCTTTGAAAGAAAATGTGATCAAATGATGAAATCATAGCAGACTATGAACTTGTACATTCAATTCTGGGAGGTGCCCCTCATCTGGGGATTAGGCAGTGGGAGTGGAGACTTAACAATGAATGAAGGCATGTCATATTAAGTCAGAACTAGAGAATAGTGGCCATGTCAGTAAATAAATCCCTTTTACTGATGCCAAGCAACAGAGATATCTGTCTTTCTTTACCAGTCCTCAAAAGCTATCATCTAAACCCACCTCTTCTTACATCTGCCATTTGCCGCCTTCTCCTGTTTTAAAAACGTAGTGCAGTGTCGCACATTCCAGGAAGAAGGCTTGGTTATCAGTATTGAAACTTTTAATTACAATAGCATAGTGACTTGATTTCATTGTAGCACAAGAGTTAAAGAGATTTTAGAAGCCTAAGGCTTTTGGTCTAGGACAGGGGTTGGCAAATATAGCCTTAGGGCTAAATCCAGCTTGATGCTCGTTTTTATAAATAAATTTTATAAATAAAGTAAATTAATATGTATTTATGTTATGTGTTTTCTGTGGCTGCTTTCATGCTACAATGGCAGACTTGAATTGCTCCAACAGAGACCATCTGGCCCACAAAGCCTAAAATATTTATCGTCTGGCCTTTTTCAGAAAAAGTTTGCTAATCCTTGGTCTAGGGCGAAACAAGTCCATTAACCCATAAGCAGCAATAAATTGAATCATTTCTGTCTGGTTGGAAACTCATGTTTCCTCAGAGACTTATAGTCACCACTCATGATAATAAGGGGGGTGCTATCCAAAAAACTGGAATTAGCCTTACAGGCCTTCTCTCTTTAAAAGTATAATAATACATTCATATCTCTCTTTGCTCTTATAGCCCCTCCCTGGCCTAAGAGAAATACTAGAAAAGTGAAAAGTCAGTTAAGACAGTGTATGAGGATTAGGCTTGGAGGATGCAGAATGAAAGGAGTGGGGGTGAGGGTCCAAAGAAGGAAATCATCCAAGAAATTTCAGAGGCCTCCTGTGTTGTTGGTACTGGGAGACTTAGAAAAGCCCTACAGATAATTTGTTCTCCTAGTAACTACCTCCTTCCAGGATACATAGGTAAAATGAGAGTGACATCAAGCTCCAAATAGAAGTTTCTTAGGCAAGTACTAGTTTTATAATCTTTATGCATTTAACTTTGTGTCATGTGGCGAGGATTTTGACTGATAGGCTAAGTTAGAGAATCCCATTAGTGTCTCTTGTCTTTTATCAGTATTTTGCCAGTGTTTATTTTGAATTTGTCTGCTGCACCATCCATGGCTTTAGGCAAATGCTTCAAGCGTCTTTGCTCTTTAAGTCAGTATGCAATTTTACTGGTCTTCCTGTTGCTCATCACTTATGTATTGACCTATGGTTAGTACTTTGAATTTCTCCTAACTCAAAAAAATGTTTTGTATAATTAGTCTTTGTAGACAATAGCAGTCATTATTGAATGTTCAAAACTGAGAAATACCAGGTACCTTATCTTTATTTTCTTTGTATTTGGAGATACTATGTCATGGTCAATATCTTTATTAAGTCTGAAATTCCAGCCTCCAGTCTTGTTTATTTTATCAGAAATTGATCTTTTTCTTTTTAAATTGTCACAGCCATCCTATTATGTAAAATTAACTTACAATCTGGGACTTGAATTATGATGAGATGACTTAGTTTATAATCATAATTCATGTGAGGAGGACATATTTCCTTGATGCTCTACTTTTCCCCCAATTGATAATCATTAGAAATAATCAATATTTAAGTTGAAGTATTTTTTCTTAATACAGAATAATATTAAAATAGGGCTATTAATAAGGGCACATTTTACTTTGGATTCAAAGGTTAACTATGATTATGGTTTTAATCTCAAATGAGATATATATAAAATTGTTATGTATGCTAAGAAAATTTATACAAATTTAAGATATTCTTTATAAACAAAAAAAAAGCACTGTTGAAATCATGCACATTTGTTAAAATTATAGCTGCCCTTTTCTTAGACATGGTTTATGCTTCTAAATTTTATTACTTGTTAGTGATTGGTTTTCATAGAAGCATTCAGAATTGTAGATTTATGTAGTAATAAAACTACTCAATTTTTCCAGCTTTCTTTCTATCTAAAAAGCTTTTGGGGGGCATGCTTTATTTTTATGTTTATATTTATATTTTTTTAAATGCAACTATTTCTATGTGAGTTTCATTCTAGACATCTGTACATAAAGACAACATAGTTGTGTAAAGACAATATTCTTTTACTGTTCCATTTGAAAATTACAAAGAGTAGTATCTTTAGTTGATTTCAGTTGCATATAAATATTTATTATTTTCTGTATACCAAGAACAGGACTTACATTACTAAAAATTTCATGGAACGCTTAAATACTCAGAATATACTCCAGTAATTTAAACTCTGTTGACTATGGAATTAACTTCTAAAATACGTACAAAATTATGTGCAGTAAACACTTTCATTTATACATTCCATTCTTGCTGGCTTTCACACATAGTAGTCAAGCCATCCCAACTCTTTGTTACTCTCTGATTTAGTCATTTAATACGGGTTTATAATTCTTCTGCATTATGCAGTCTGTGATTTTGATCAGATGTTTCCTTTTTCTATTAATGTAAGTTGATTATAGTGGCACAGCCAGTCTTTGATTATCCATGATAAGTGAGGAAAGAGCAGAGCATTAAAAATTACAATTTAAAAATAATTCTTAAATCTCAGTCAAGCCAGTATGTTTGTTGAATTTTTTTTCTTCACTAACACTTTATGCAATCTACCCTACCACTTCAGAATTTTTTTCAGTAGTATATCTAAGAAGTAACCAAAATGACAGCTTGTATTATTTCATTTTAGTTCATAATCTGGTTTCTGTTAGAGGTGCCAAGAGTGAATGACTCTTGACTAAAAGACAGGGGAGTAAAAAGCAGTTTTAGATAATCCACATTATTTGAATAATTCTCCCTTGCAAAACAGCAAATGAATAAGCATTTCACAAAATGCTTTCTTTTCCTAATTTATCTCAGAAATATATTATTCTGACAAAAAAAAATGCTACTACAGAAAACGTCATAATAAAATAAAATATTTGCATATTCTATCTGTGACCTGTAGAAAGAACTCTAATAATCCTATTTAATAAAGTATTTTTTCTGATTCTAGTCCTTTGGAAGAATGAAGTAATTGTTGAAATGTTCTGCAAACCCTTAGTTATATTATTAAAATAGTATGGGGGACTTGTATTGTCATTTTTCAAGCTTTTCAAAACTTAAATAAAAATCTTTATTGTATACTATTTACATTGTAGTCATGGAAGAGAAATCTAAAAATCTTTATTGTATACTATTTACATTGTAGTCATGGAAGAGAAATCTTATAGCCCTGCCATCAGTTGAAATGTGCCTTTTAAGATTCCTCATATTTATAACCTCAGTAATTCCAGCTAGTAAAACAAAAACTTCATATAAATACTCGAAAAGCAGCCTGGACTAGACCCAAGTGGTTGCAGAGTTATATACCTCATCTCATTGCCCTCCTGGAAATTTATATTCATCTGTTGATGCTCCCTCACCCACCACTGATAAGGCTACCATAGATCGTCAAGGTGAAGAGTGCATTTCCGACGGTATCCAGATTTTTAAAATTCCAGTATCAGAAATCATTTTATCTTATAGAATTCATCTTAAGAGACTATTTTTTAACCTATATTCCTCTGCAACCAATATAATTTCTAAACCTTTTATCAGTTTTGTGGAGATATTTGGCTACAGCAAATGGTGTTCTTAAATTTTTTCATAGAGTTCTTGTAGAATCATACAAGTAGTAGTGCTCATTAAATATTGTAATTTAAATATCACCAACACTGTTATACTTCATTCATTGAACTTCCTTAGATCCATTTGATACTTTTCTTTTCTTCTTCAAAACAAAACAAAACAAAACTGAAGGTAATCACACAGATTTGTTGCTTTGCAGTTTGAGCTATCTTAAAATTTAAGCAGCTTTCCAAATGGCCAGTCACCACTTGCAAGTAGTAGCCAGGTGACTTTTAAACAACATTAACTTTATTCATTTGATTATTTGAATTGAGACTGTGCTGGGAGGTGAAAGGAGAAGGAGACTGGTATTGCAAAGCTGACTTAAATCCCTTTTAATACCTGATTATGTCTGTGGACATTTTGCCCCACTGTTGAGCATTCGTCTTCAATTCACATCATGCTGAATTACATGCAGATCATTGTTCTTAAAATATTTTAGAAAAAAAGATTATAGTACATTTTCTTAAATTGTAACAAGTTTAAAATTTAGTGTTTCTTGAAGGCAAAATTCTGAGTGTTCTAATGGCTTTTTAAAAAAATCATTTATTTGCTAGGTAAGTTCTCTTCTACGCTTTATGAGACTGGTGGCTGTGATATGTCACTTGTGAATTTTGAACCAGCAGCAAGAAGAGCATCCAATATCTGGTATGTGTGAAGTCGTATTAGGAGAGTGTGTGTACTTACATATGTTTGACTTGTTTAAAGTTTTTAAGCCTTGAGATATAGAAGTTATTTTGAAAACATTTGTTTATATTGACTTGAATAATTTGTCATAGTGCATTTGTCTCTACAGAGTTAAAGTAGAATTTTTTGCTATAGAAAAAAGAAAGCATTCTTCTTAAAACAAAAACTATTCTGTGTTTTAAAAAATTAAGTAAAAATTTTCTGTAGATCTTACAGTGGGACAGTGGTTTTGCACAGTTCCAAATTTAACTATAGATTTCATGCTATATATATATATTGTGCATAATGTAAAAAAGCTTGTTAGAAAAATATTTACACAACTAAGTTCAAACCCATCAGATCTCTTTCTTTGTGTGATTTAAAATTTTTATTTCCTTATAAGGGTTTTGGTCCAGTATTTTTTTAATGATTCATCTCTCATTTTGTTTTAAAATTTGTTTACCAGCTATGAGAAGGAGGAATTTCTTAAAATATGGGTCATATGTTACATTTAGTTTCTTTTCCCTCCTGCTCATAGGAAGGAATTATATAAGATAATGGAGAAGGTAGGAGAAAAGCTCAAATAAGAAATTAGAGATCTTGATCACATCGCATAATTATTGTTTAGAATGTGTTGAAATTTTTTCTAAAATTTTAACCTTACTGTTCATCTATTCTAGTTGCTGCTTTGAAATCCATTATTAATTAGCTCACTTTTTTCACAAGGGTCATTTGATTCTTATTTTAGGACTTTCATTTAATAATAGGGAACACCTATTTAAATGTTACACATCTATGGGCAGTTCGCTTAGTTTTTTAAGTTTTGAGGGGCCATGTAAAGGAATAAGATCTTATAGTCACTTAGCTTAGCATGCTGAAAAGATGGAACATTTAGAAAACTGTACTCTTGAAAAAGCTCCTTTAGTCCAGTTTCAGAATTCACCCTGTCAAAAATGATTAAATTTGAGTCTTAGATGATTTTGTAACAGTAGAATAGGATGATGGAACAATGGAAACCATTGTTTAATATAATTCAAGTTAAGAGCAATTCTTTATACCATAAATTTGGTAAGGTTTCAGGTTTTGAAATCTAAACTTGACTGAACTGTGAAAAGTGAGTTGTCATGTTCTAGGCTATTATATTATGGCTAAAATTTATTCTGGTTCCAGGCAATATATTAATTGCTTTCTTAAACACTTTTCACAAGAACTTTGTGATAGAGATACGATTATCTTATGTTACCAATGAGGAAACTGAGGTATAAAAAGGTTGGATAACTTGTCCAAGATCTCATTCAGTTGATGAAGAGATTCAAATATAGATATTCAAATACCCTGACCCAGGGGCTATCTCTTAATCACAACTCGAGGAAAATGCTGTTTTGCATTTTGAAGTTTACATGAAACAATGAAGACAGTGTAAATATCATCCAATTGTTAAAGGACTTTTTTTTTTTTTTTTACTGCTTGACAAACTGTTTATCCGTTAAAGTCTTTTTCATCTTATTTTAGTGACACGGATTCTCATGTATCCAGTTCTACCTCAGTTCGATTTTATCCACATGATGTGGTAGGTTTTCCTTTATTTTTATAAAATGATGTATTTTCAGATTAACTATACAAATCAGAAAAGTTGATGTAGTTATAAAATATCAATTTTGTTGAAAACTATGGCAAAATCACCTTTGCTGTCCCATAGTGAATTTCTTCTTATAAGTCCTTTGTTAAGAAACATAGAACACCATGAAGTTTAATTAGCTATATATCGATCAATTATTACACTTATGAGGGTATGTAAAGGTCCATTTTCTCACCAGCGTCATAATCTGGTTGTGCCATTTTAAAACTTCACTGCGAATATTATGATTTTGGTGCAGTTATCCATTGGTTACCTATTGGTTGTTCATATACCAGTGTGGGTGGGGGAAACTTACTAATGACGTCACTAAAAATGCCACATGAAATACAGTGGGGATATTTTAAAAAGATAACACTCCCTTTGCCATCAAGAAGTATATACTGAAGTTGGAAAAGACAAAATGGATGAAATCCTTATAAGCAACACATGAGAGATACATGTAGATAAGTGTAGTGCCAAAGGGATTAATTATTAGCAGCTTCCTGAAGGTGACAAGTTGTGAGCAGGGTTTTAAGACAATGGATGTGAGTTGGCATAGAGCAGAGGTTTTCAACTAGTGGACAATTAGTAATGTCTGGAAACATTTTTGATTGTCACAACTTGGGGAATGCTTCTATCTAGTGGTTACAAGCCAGGTAGACATCGTGCAGTGGACAGCACAGCCCCCACAACAAAGAATTATCTGGCCAAAAATACCTGTAGTGCCAAGGTTGAGAAACCCTGGCATAGAGGATAAGAAAAAAAAGTGTTTGGGGAAGTATTTGTCAATGGTTAGAGATAGAAATGGCTTTATTATATATAGAAAGCAAATTTTCTTGACTATACTCACTTATGTGTTTGAAAAGTAAAGGCTGTCCTTACTTTTTTGCTGTAGTGTATTCCTGGAAACTCCATAGGAAAGCAAAAGTGGGAAAATGATTATTTTATTGTTTTCCACTCAAACATATGGGAGTCTTGAGATAGCAAACTGCTGGCTAGTGCTGTGCTAGATACAGTAAGCTTTTGATTCTTTCAGAGGAAGGGGAAATTGGTGAACTGGTGAATGGATGAGTTAAAGCTAAAAGAAATGTAATGAGGTAATTTCCTGTGTAGCCTCAGATTAGCAGCCTGCCAAAACAACACAAAAAGGGATGTGGGAGGGATTTGAAAACAGCAGTAACAGTGAAGACACTAGGAAGAAATGAGAATTGAAGGCATTGGATCCAAGGCAGAGGAGCTCAGATTGAACATGGCAATGAGGTTCACAGCTTAATGAGAAAAGACCGTAAATGTGACAGGGAGAAGGGAAGCCATTAGTGATTCATTCTAAGTGATTTTAATGGATTTACTAGCTACACAATCATAAAGTGTTAAGATTTCGAACACTTTTCCTAATAACAACCTTTCTAAAAGGCCTATTGATTAATTTGCTTTGTTTTAGTTCAGTTCCTATTGTCACCTTCTGTACAGACACGTGTTGCTTAGCAAAAGGGATATGTTCTTTTGGAAATGCGTTATTAGGCGATTTCATCATTGTGTGAACATCATAGTGTACTTACACAAACCTAGATGGTATAGCCTACACACCTAGGCTATATGGTACTAATCTTATGGGACCATCGTTGTTTATGCGGTCTGTTGTTGACTGAAACGTCATTATGTGGCTCATGGCTCTAGTTTATAATGGTCGTAAAATATCCACAGGGAGTGGACTAATGAGTAGCCCTTGAATCTTGACTTCATTTAAGATATTTTAAGCCTTTTAATGCTGACTTTCTTTTAGCTCTCTCTTCCGCAGATTCGACTGAACAGACTATTGACCATCGATACAGATTTGTTGGAGCAACAAGACATTGATCTAAGCCCTGACTTGGCAGCTACTTATGGTCCAACAGAAGAAGCTGCCCAAAAGGTTAAACACTATTATCGCTTTTGGATCCTGCCCCAGTTGTGGATCGGCATTAACTTTGACAGACTTACACTTTTGGCCCTGTTTGATAGGTGAGAATATAGTCTGATGTTAGAGATATGCACAGATTTTGTTTTTAAATTGACGTCTCTAATTACCCATTGAAGTTTTTACTTAGTTACCATGTTGGAAATGTTTTTCTATTTTGATCCTTTTGAGATAAAATTTAAGTTAATAGGGTTCCCAAACGTTAACTCTCGAATCCATTAAAAACTTTTTTGTGGCCATTTTAATATGTTTATACAAAAAATCATTTTTATTATTAATAAGAATCATGGGACTGTACTTAAAAGCCAGAGAATAGGAGGTGTTAATGATCATAAGATTATAGGTAATATAACCCTAAGTAAAAAGCTGTAAGGTGAAACTTCTGTTTCCCTATTTCTTAGCACTAGTCTTAATAGTAAACAACATTAGTCTATCGTGAACTTGGTGACCAAATGCTGCCTCCAGTCAGCATGGAGTAACAAGGATTGGATTTACCCTCCTACCTGAAACAATGAAAAACAGACAACATGCATGAAACAGTGGTTTTCAAGACAACAAAAGACAGTGATTCCTGAGAGATGGGAAACAAAGTATGTGAGCCCTACAGTTGCCCCAGCTTCCCGCCTTAAGAGAGTTTCCAGGCTGCCACACAAGGAGGAGGTACTGAAGTAGAGCCCAGCAGACTTCCTGAGTTGAGGAGATGGAGCTAAGAGTCCAGGGAGACTAAGGCAGCTCAAATCCATAGGACAGAATATCAGAGAGAGAATCTCAAGAGGTCTGCAGTGGGTCTCTTCAACTATTCAGCAGTGTTTTGATAAGTGAATGTTTGTGAGGAATCTACCAGAGAAAGAACTGTGAAGGAAATAGAGGAACAGTGCCTGACACTTACACAGGGCCGCGAATACGTGCCTGTTCCCACCAGCCAGATGGAAGAAAGTGATAATTTATATTTTATGCTGCATAAAATATGCACTCAAGAAAGTCTTGCCTTAGAAGTGGGGAATAATTAGCCCTAGCTTGAGCACTGCTCCAGACCCACCTAACAAGTCATAAAAGCAAGACCTGAAAGGATCAAATTGTTTCCAAGTAGTATAACATAGCCCAAGAAGATTTACAGAAATCCAGAGATTCTCAGCACCCAGTAAGTTAAGATTTATGATGTCTGGCATTCAAAGATTACCAAGCATGCAAAGAAGTGATAAAAAACATTTATAATGAGGAAAATAATGAATCAATTGAAACCAGCCTATAACTGTCACAGGTATTAGGATTAGCAAAGACATTAAAACAATTATAACTGTACTCCATATGTTAAAAAAGTTAATTAGAGACATGGAAGATATAAATAAAGACCCAAATCAAACTTATAGAGATGAAAACTAGAATGTCTGAGATGAAAAATACAATGGATGGGATTAAAGGTAGATTAGACATCACAGAAGAAAATATTAGTGACCCTGAAAGCATAGCAATAGAAACTATCCACAATGACACAGAAAGAAAAAAGCATCGTCCTCCCACTCCCATCTCCCAAAGAAAAGAACTTAGAAAGAAGGTAAAAGTAGCTTGTGAGACAACTTCAAGGGGAGATAGGGAGACAGAAAAATTTTGAGGAAATAATGGGGGAGAACTTTCCAAATTTGATGAAAGCTATAAACATCCACATTAAAGAAGCTCAATAAAGCCCAAGCACAGTTTTCGTGAAGAAAACTACACCAAAGCACATAATAGCTCAAAACCAGTGACGAAATCTTAAAAACTGCAAGAGAAAACAAGACAGAGTTTGTTAGAGGAACAAGGATAAGGAAGACATCACATTTATTATGGGAAATAATGGAAGTGAGAAGGCAGTGGAGCAACATTTTTAAAGTAGTGAAAGGAAAAAAAAAATTGTCAACCTGGAATTCTATACCGAGTAAAAATATCTTTTAATAACCAAGATGAAATAAAGACATTTTCAGACTGGGAAAAACTGAAAGAATTCTTTGCAAGAATTCAATGCTACAAAATATTCTAAAGAATGTCTTTCAGGGGGCTGGCCTGGTGGCATAGTCCTTAAGTTTGCACATTCCGCTTCAGTGGCCTGGGGTTCGCAGGTTCAGATCCTGGGCACAGACCTGTGCACCGCTAATCAGGCCATACTGTGGTGGTGCCTCATATATAAAATAGAGGAAGATTGGCACAGATGTTAGCTCAAGGACAGTCTTCTTCAAGCAAAAAGAGGAAGATTGGCAACAGATGTAAAGCTCAGGGCCAATCTTCCTCACCAAAAAAAAAAAAAAAATGGGATGTCTTTCAGGCAGAAGGAAAATGATACCAAACAGAAATCTGAACCTACCCAAAGGAACAAAGATTACTGGAAATGGTAAGTAACTACATGGATAAATATAGAAGATTTTGCTAATTAGATCTCTTTAAGAGATAATTGGATGTTTAAACAAAAATAATAATTATTGTGTGGTTTATAACATATGTAAACATAAATATTCATGGAAATAATAGCATAAAGGCCAGGAAGGGAGGTATAAAAGTATACTTTTATAAATTTCTTATATGTGAAGTCATATAACATCATTTAAAAGTAGATTGTCATAAAATGTATACTGTAAACCCTAAAGCAACCACTAAAATAACAAAAGAGTTAGTAAGTAAAAAGAGGAGATAAAATGGATTCATAAAAATTATTAATGTAAAAGAAGGCAGAAAAAGAAGGAAAAGATTAAGAACAAATAGATCAGCAGATGGAAAATAAATGACAAGATTATAGTCGGAAAAAGTCAGAAGGCATCAGATTGGAGAAAAAAGCAAGACTGAACTCTGTGCTGCCTGCAAGAAATGCATTTGAATATAAAAACAGAAATAGGTTAAAAGTAAAAAGATTGTAAAAGATATAGTATGCTAACACTAGTCAAAGGAAAGCGGGAGCGGCTGTATTAATGTCAGACAAAGTAAATTTCAGAGCAAAGAATGTTACCAAGGATAAAGAAGGTCATTTCATAATGATAAGGGGTCAGTTAATCCATAGGATTTAACCATCCTAAATGTTTCTACACTTAAAACAACACTTTAAAATACATAAAGTAAAAGCTGATAGAAATAGAAGAAATAGACAGATTCACAGTTATAGTTGAATTCAACATCCCTCTCTCAATAATTGGTAGAACAAGTATGTAGAAGATCAGTAAGTATATAGTAGACTTGAACAGTACTGTCAACCAACCTAGGTTCATTGACATTTATGAAACACTCCACTCATAACAACAGAATACACATTCTTTTAAGTGCACGTGGAAAATCCACTAAGATAGACCATAGTCTGGGCCATAATCCAAGGGTCATATTTAAAAGGACTCACATCACACCTAGTGTGTTCTCTGACCATAGTGAAAGTAATTATAAATTAATAGCAAAAAGAGTCTTGGAAAAAATCCCTAAATATTTGGAAACTAAATAACACTTCCAAATAACTCATGGATCAAAGAAGAAATCAAGAGGAAAATTAGTATTTTTGAACTGAATAAAAATGAAAACAACATATCAGAATTTTTGGAATGCCACTAACACAGTACTTGGGAGAGTATAGCACTAAATAAGAAGAAAAGTCAAATGAGGGACTTCACCTTCCACCTGAAGAAACTAGGAGAAAAACTAGAGCACATTACATCCGAATAAGCAGAAGAAAGAAAATAATAAAGAACAAAGCAGAAATCAATGAGGAAACAGAAAAACAATAGAGAAAAATCAAGGAAACTAAAAGCTCCATCTTTGAGAAGATCAATTTAATTGATAAACTTTTAGCCAGGCTGATCAGGAAAAAAAAAAATAAAAGATATAAATTACCAATATCGGGAATATGAGATAAGATATCACTACAGATTCTACAGGTATTAAATGGATAATAGAATATTATAAACAACTGTATGTAAATAAATTTGACAGTGGACAAATTTCTTGAAAGATATACATTATCAAAGTTCATTCTGAAAGAAATACATTACCTTATTGGTCCTGTATCAAATAAATGGAAATTGAAGTTAAAAACCTTCCCATAAAGAAAACTCCAGGCTTAGATGGCATCAGAATAATATCCCAAATCAGTGAAGTGGAGAAGGGATAGCTTTTTCAATAAATAGTACTGAAACCATATGCAAAAAAAAAAACTTGTATCCTTACCTTGTACCATATTACAAGAATTAATTCAAAATGGATCATAGGCCTAAATGTAAAATCTAAAACCATAAAACTTCTGGGGGAAAAAAAAAACATAGGAGAACATTTTTGTGACCTTGGGTTAGGCAAAATTTCTTAGATGTGACACCAAAAACAAGATCAGTAAAAGAACAAATTGATAATTGGATTCATCAAAATCAAAAACTAAAAACAACCAAAGGAGAGCACATGTTCAGTGTCTAGCGACTTGGAAAGTATGTAGTGTAGCAGGGACAATGAGGATCATTGGATTTGGCAAATCTGGAATTCCACAACTGCCATATAAGGTCAATGAAAACACCAGTGTTTATTGATTTGAAAATACTATTGAAGTTGTTTTAATCTGGTAGAACTATCAAATAAAATAGTACAGAGATGTTTGTGAATTTTATTTTTTAGGTCAGTTGATTATAAACATGACATTGACTTAAAAAACAAATTAATAAAAACATTTTTATGATTATAAGAGTAATTAATTCTTTACCCATTATAGAAAATTTAAATATATAGAAAAATTTTAAGACAGAGGCCAACCATAATTCTTCCACCCAGAGAGAACCATTATGAGTAGTGTCATTTTGATATTTTATCTTTTTAACGTGTATGTGTGTGTTTTTTAAATAACAGAACTTTTATCTTCCTTTACACACAGTTTGTGTCCTGTTTTTTGTATAGCAAATGTGCTGAGTATGTTCCTGTGTCAGTAAATATTCTTTAAAAGCAAGACTTTTAGCAAGTAATTAGCATTTTGTGAATAAAATTTCCCCAAGAAGTAATGAGACAGATTTTTATTTTTTGGTATGACATATAAAAATCATTTTCATTGCTATATGTAATGTCTTCGGCATCATATTGTTTCTTGTACAGAATCAGTTTAATAAAATATAGAACTGTCTCAGCAACTTTCACAGAGGCAATATTGATCGTCTTGATCACTGCCATCTTTCTCAACATGTGTAAGAGCCTGTATTTAAGTAACTCTAGTAAGTTAGTTTTCAGATAATTTCAGATGATTTAGAGATGGGGAAAATGAAACCACTTGGTATCAAAATTTGGTTACCAACTTTGTCATGTAAAATAACTTTTTTTTTAAAGATTTTATTTATTTATTTTTTCCCCCCAAAGCCCCAGTAGATAGTTGTGTGTCATAGCTGCACATCCTTCTAGTTGCTGTATGTGGGACGCGGCCTCAGCATGGCCGGAGAAGCAGCGCGTCGGTGCGCGCCCGGGATCCGAACCCGGGTCGCCAGCAGTGGAGCGCGCTCACTTAACCACCAAGCCACGGGGCCGGCCCTAAAATAACTTTTAAATTTAATTTTCTAGAAACTATTTCAAGATTTTGTCTTTCAAATTTGGTTCTTTGTGTATCTCCTTTATTTGCCATCTCAGTTAGTTATTTTGCAACAAATTTGGCAGATCAAGAAGATGTTAAGAAGAGTAAAGTTTTTAAAATAGAAATTAAAACTATATTATGTATTAAAATTAAAACTTCACAGTCCACTGCAGGAATCTTTATTTGCACATAAGAATTTGTATTAATTTTCCACATAAACTAGTTTCTTTTTCAGTATGATCCAAAATCTTATTCAAACCCAGTACCAAAAAACCTCTCAGGAAACATAATATGAGCTTCATATTGATGTCTTCCCTTTTTTCACTCTGATCAGTTTCTTACACTGATGATATACTTACTCATAAATTTTTCTGTCTGCAGAAATCGTGAGATCCTGGAAAACGTGTTAGCTGTCATCCTGGCTGTCCTTGTGGCTTTTTTGGGATCTGTTCTTCTCATTCACGGCTTCTTCAGAGAGATTTGGGTCTTCCAGTTCTGCCTGGTGATAGCCAGCTGTCAGTACTCATTGCTTAAGGTACCAGCGTCTCTTCTTTTCAGACTTTGGAATAATAGTTGTGTTACAAGGCGGAAGGTTTTGTATCATTCATTGAATTATAGTAAGATAATTTTTAGATTTATTTTCCTTGGATGTTTACATGTTTACCTTAGATTGGATAGGGAACAAAAGGGATATATACACTTTAAAAAAATAATGATATGTAAGTGAAGCTTCCTAAAAACTATTTTTTTGTATTAAAAGAAAATATTTGGGCATTTGTTAAAAATAATTTGCTTTCTTGAAGTTCATTTCTTTTAAATTTATCAACATTAACTCTCTCACTCCCGTATTTTAAGTCTTCTATTCTGTAGGTGAGATTTATTAAAATCCATCCTTGGTGGATATAATAATGTCAAAACTAGAATATATGTTCTTTTGGGACACTGAAAGCAGAAGATTGATGTCCCTTTGCTCTTGTTTCAAAAGTGGCTCTAAAATGCCAAATGTTATCAATTTTAAGCTTTCGAAAATTGGGAGAATCATACACCAAATTTTTCACCTTCCATGCAAAATCAGTGTGGACTGTTAACATGAACTGTTCCCTTTCCTTTCTTTCTTAGCCAGTAAATACCCTTGTTTGTATTGGTTATTTGCCTGATATATGCTGATGTGCAGAACCCTCCCCCATCCTGAAAACTATTTAGTTCTGTTTATACCATCAGCTGTCCTTTCTTTTTTCTCTCTCCATTTGTAGACAGACATCTGGGGTAAACCACCTATGTCAACTGCTTCATTTCTTCAAGGCCCATCCATACTTTTTTCCTCATTGCAGTACTGAAATTACAGTCTTTGTGGTACTAATAATCTCTAATTGCCAAATCCGTGTCCTTTTCTTAGTCTTCATTCTCTGTGAGTGCTGCATCATATGATACCTCTGAATATTACCTTCCATTTCTATATTCTCCTCATTGATGTTCTGTGACTTTATACTACCCCGACGATTTTCCTACTTGTCACATATCTTTGTTTTCCTTTTTTTGATGCCTCTTTGTTCTTTTGACCACTTCTTAATTTATGAGAATTCTCTAGGGTTTTGTTTGGCCCTCTTCTCAGTTTGCAATTCCTTGCGAGTGAGGTTATCCTCTTTTATTACTTTATTTGTTGCCTCATATACGGATTATGTCCAGATTTGTATCTCAAAGTTTGCACCTTTCTCACAAGCTTTAGTTCTATATATCTAAGCAGCAGTTGGCACATTTTAAAAATAGCACATCATCATCTTCTGATAAATATTTTCCTTTCCCAGTTCCTTTTCTTTTGACAGTAGTATACCAACTCAAAATCTTAGAGCCTCTACGCCATCCTTCTGTATCCCTAATAACACGTAACCAAGGCGCTTTGATTAAATTTGTGATCCCATGTTAAAATTTCTGGCCTTTGTTCTTGCTTTCCATTTCAACCACCTTAATCCATCCCTTTATTGCCTTAAACTATTTAAAATCATTCCCTGGCCCCAATGTCCTTTGTCCCATTAATTCTGTCCACTGCTTTCAGGTTAATATGGTTAGATATAGAACAGGTAAAAGATGACTGAGATTTTTGAAATTAGTTGACTAGAAGAATAGTAAAGTCATAAATAAGAAAGGCTGGAGTAGAAGCTGTTAGAGGGTAGATGTTGGAATTGAAAGAACGGAAAGATTACCTGGTCTCATATCCAGCCTAGGGCCAAACTCTGAGCTTGGTCCAGTCTAGAATTGTAGGGTGATGACAGGCCATCCTAGTGAAACTGCTTACTATGCTACTGGAAATGAACTGGAATTTGAGAGAAAAGTCACGATTTCAGAAGTAGCTGCATAATGCCTTTGGAACATTTTTATGGAAAGTTGATAAAGTTTTTTACAAGGATATAGCTTAACCTATTTGATGATTTTGATGTGAAAATGCAGATAATATATTTAATACAAATGCCATTGAATTGTTTAGTAAGCTTGGAATTTGTGGGCAGAATTAGGATTCTTCTTATAAGCTAAGCCAAGTTTTTTGCATTTCCTGAATGGAGTGATGTTGCATAAGAAAGTGTTCTACCTTAACTATACTTATGTGTAGCAAAGAGCCGAGCAGTAAGATGGATCTGTCTACCAAATGCCATTTCAGAAACGTTAAGCCAGATGCAAATTACTAATTAACCATAATAGGTTGAAGAGTAAAGAAAGATTTGAAATGTTTTTAATATCACAGGGACACCAGTGTCTAGAGCTGATGTTTCATCTTCTGTTATGTTTCAACAGAGTTAACGTAGGTCATTTCTTAGCTGTGAGATATTCACTTGAAATTATTTCAGGCATTTTAGAAGTTGCTTGTAAAATTACCAGGGTTTCAGTAGTATAATCTATCTTTCTGTTTCATTTTTAGAGTGTTCAACCAGATTCTTCTTCTCCCAGACATGTAAGTCACTCTGAGATGCCTGTAACTGGTAGTTCCTTAACATTCATCAAAACCTTTTTTTTTTTTGTCATATGTCAGATTGAATTAAGATTTATGTTATTATTTTCTCATCTGAGTTTTGACACACTACTAGATATATAGGTGATTTATTAGCATGAAATAAAATTGCATTATAATTGTGGACTCTAAATCTTGGTTGAAAATGAGCAAAGTAATTCATTGTTTGACACCCTGTTTTAGGAGGAGGTTATCAGTTAGGTAGACATGGTTCATATAAATTCATGGTTATTTGATAACTTTCATTTAATAAATTTTGAACAATAAATCATGAATAAGTATTGAAAAATAGAATTTTGAAGTAGGAAAAATTTTACATTATTTTGCTTAGGTAATCATTAGGAGCAAGAATAAAGAAGTAATACATTGATCTGGTGTTTAGACCTATGGACTCTAAGGAGATTAAAAACCTTGTTAATCACTTTGTGACTTTAGACAAAAGTATTAGCTGCCTAACACTGTTTATTGTGAAGTCAAGTTTTAGACCTTACCCTAGAGTATTTATTTAATAGAAAGACCAAAGGGCTTCTCTTTAAAGTAGTTAAAAAACAGACTCCAAGAACAGTTTATGATCATGCCTTCTTTCTTGAGTAAAATTATCATTTTTGCCCATACATTGGAATACTTAACGAGAGTACGTAAGCAAAACAGAACAAGGAGGCAAATGACTTTCTTTCAACAGGTTGTTTATTATTTTGTAAGAGTGCTTTTGAAGTGTAATAATGTATGGAAGTATTGTTTCTAACTTTTTATTTTGACATAATTTCAGACTTAGGGAAAAGTTGCACAGATTGTGCAAAGATTTCCTAATGCCATTCACCCAGTTCCCTGTGTTCACATTTTACCCTGTTTGTTTATTCCCTCTCTAGTTCTTCTCCCCGCCCCCCACAACACGTACACACTTTTCTACACTGTTTGAGGGTGAATTATAGACACGATGCCCCTTTACTTCTAAACACCTCAGTATGTGTTTCCTAGAAACAAAGGCATTTGTTTAAATTAATCCAATGTAATTCTCGTAATCAGGACATTAACACTGATATAATAGTATTTTCTAATCTAAAGATCTTACTCAGGTGTTTCCTGTTGTCTCAGTTGGCAATAGAAAATCCCTGATTATGCATTTGTTCTTTTTAGCCTCTAATCTGGAGCAGTTCTTTATAATTTGTTTTTCACAATATTGACATTTTTGATGGGTACAGGCCAGTTATTTTGTAGACCATCTCTCAATTTGAGTTTGATGGTTCTTCTCGGTTAGATACAGGACATGCTTTTTTGGTAGGAATATTACAAAAATGATGTGTTCTTCTCAGTGCATCATATCAGAAAGCACGTGATGTTGATTTTTCCTTTTACTCCTGACATTAACTTTGATCTTTTGGGTAAGAGTAGTGTCGGCAGAGTTTTTCAAACTCTGCAACATTAACGTTTTGAGCTGGACAATTCTTTGTTAAGAGTTTGTGAGGGGAGTGCTGTCCTGTACATTATAGGATGTATAGTATTCTCTCTGACCTCTACCCACTAGATGCTACTGGCACCCCCACCCCAATTGTGACAACCAAAAGGTCTCTCGACATTGCCAAATTTTGCTCTGGGAGAAAAAATCCCCTCCCACCCCCTTAAGAACTACTCCTGTAATGTTACTATTTTTCTCTTGTAGTTAATAAATATCTCATAGGGAGATATGTTGAGATTGTATACATATGACCAATGGCCAGCAAACTTCTACCCACTTGTTTGCTTGCCTGAGTCACTATCACTTGATGGTTGCCAAATAGTGATTTTCTAATTCCATTATTCCTTCTACATTTATTAGTTCACTTTTTACTGTAAGGAAGAACTTTCCCTTCTATCTTAATTTTTTTGTAATGTTGTGGAGTCACAAATTCTTATTCAATGGACTGTAATCTTACTATCATTATTTATTTTGATGCTCAAATTGTCCCTGATTTGGGCATTGGGAGCCCATGAAGCTGCCCTCTGTGTCCTTTTGATGTATCCTTATCATTCTTTAAGTACTTCTTCCTTTTGGGCACAATAGGATGTTCCAGGCTCATCTTATACTCTCCCTACCCTAGCCCCAACCCAGCATTTCCTCTATCGAGTGCTAGTTCTTTTTAGTGAATAATAGTATTTATAATCTAAGATCTGGTTGCTAATAATCTTTATTAGTAGAATGTCGTTGCTTCTAGGTCCTCTCAGTGGATAAAGCTGGAAAATATATGTCTGTATATACACACATGTACACACATACACACACACAGCTATTCTTATATCTATTTATATGCATATTAAAAACAGTGAGTTCATACTGATTCCTCTAATTTCAATCCAGTATCACAGGATTCATTCTGTTCTTCTTGCTTTCCATGTTTGTAATTCTCTTCTGCCACAGTCAGAAACCTGGCTTCCATGTGGAAACATTTTGAATCCTTAGGATATAAGCCATCAAACATCTCAGTAGCTAGTTGTGACTCTTAAAATTAACTAAACTGACTTCTTTTTTAATATCATTTTCAGGGTCATAATCGTATCATTGCCTACAGTAGACCAGTTTACTTCTGTTTATGTTGTGGTCTTATTTGGCTCTTGGACTATGGTAGCAGAAACCTTACTACAAACAAGTTCAAATTATATGGAATAACTTTCACCAATCCACTGGTGCTTATATCAGCCAGGGATTTAGTTATAGGTGAGTCGTCTTTAAAATATTTCAGATCTTAACATTAATTTGTTTGTATACAAACAGTTATTGGATAAATAGATGCGTTATATAGGTAAAAATTGTTTGTTTGTTTTGTTTTTTGGTGAGGGAGATCAGCCCTGAGCTAACATCTATTGCCAATCCTTCTCCTTTTTTTCTTCCCCAAAGCCCTAGTAGATAGTTGTATGTCATAGTTGCACATCCTTCTAGTTGCTGTATGTGGGACGCGGCCTCAGCATGGCCGGAGAAGTGGTGCGTTGGTGCGCGCCCGGGATCCAAACCCGGGCCACCAGTAGCGGAGTGCGCGCACTTAACTGCTAAGGCACGGGGCCAGCCCCGTTAAAAATAGTTTTAATAGGCTTACTTTGCTGTTTATTGTAATCCTCTCTGTGAGGAACAGAACTATAGTGCTATTACGAATGAAAAAAGTTAATGATGAACAAATATTATAGTATTTCTTTTATATTTGAAGCATATGCAATGGAAAGTTTCCTTCGGATTCTTTATCTCAGGTTCCTATTATGTGAACATGGTTGAAATAATTCTAAAAGCTGTTCTTTATAGTTGAAAAGATTATTTGATACCCAAGCAATTATGTAGAGAGAAATAATTTAAAATTATGTCTTTGCAAAAATTGTTTAGAAGTTATATATTAATTTTGGATTTCTTTTTATTATTTATTTTATGATCATAAATGAAAAAAAGGATGCATGTGGAACGCTATTTTTAATATGCCTTTCTTTCCTTCTATAGTGTTTACACTCTGTTTCCCGATAGTGTTTTTCATTGGTCTCCTGCCTCAGGTGAATACATTTGTAATGTACCTTTGTGAACAATTGGATATTCATATCTTTGGTGGTAATGGTGAGTACTTCCTTAAAAAAATTATAGATTACAGTATGACTTTTACAGATGATTAAGTAATAAACTGAACATTAAAATGCTTTTCCAGTTTTCATTTTAGAATTGAAATTAGAAAGAAAAAGGCACTTATTTAATAATTAAAGACAGAGCAGGAATTAATATATAGATAGGAAAAAGTAGTCAAGTCAGCTACTTTAGTGAAAGATTCAGGAATAATGGAGTTGATTTGTAAAAAGTGATGCAATACTATTGTCCAAAACTAAAAGTTATAGTGAGTTTACATGGAACCTGTGTAGACTTAGGAAATATTATAAAAGATCATCTATCCCAAATAGATTGAGCTCTGATAAATGGCGTTATGTGTGGATTTTGAACTGGTATATGTATTTGGTCTATGTATTTGATTTCAGAGCTTTATTTTATCTTTAGACTGGAAATGCCAAAATCAGAATGCTTTTAGTAAAAGCATTTTAATAAATAAGATTTTTAGAAGTATCTCTGTTTTTAGAGTAGAATATGTGGATATGAATTGATATACTTAGGAATTTATTCCCCTATTATATGTATATTTTATTTTCAAAATAAATGAGACCATACCAATATTACTCTAGAATAGATAATGGTTTGCAGAACTTGAAAATAACCCTATGGCAGCTGCTGTGGTTAAAATATACCCTTATTTACTTTAACCATTTAGAATTTTACTGAAAGATGAGTGTACAACTAGGGGAAAAATATGAAAAGGAAACAAATACTATAACATTATAGTCCATTTCTCTTCATACTTCACATTTGCAGTTCAGATCTTCCAAGTATGTGCATTGAAATAATCTCTGCTGATAAAATGTTGATATTATGGCTTAAATTTTCAATAGAAACTAAGTTTTTTCTGTTTCTGTGTATCTAGAGCATTTTTAATGTTTTGAAAATTTTTGGAAGGGGTATGATTTAAAACTGGGCTGGTCTTCAACATAGCTTAGTGGGTAGAAGGCAGTTTTAGTATTTAGGGACTATTATAGATGCAATATTAATCCAAATACTATGGAGAGAGTTTAGTGTGGGTAATTTATAATAGGGGCTTTGTCATATTATAATTTGCAAACTTGTCCAAGGTGTTAGTTTTTTAATATTTCCTAAAGAAAATTTTTTCCTGTAGATTTCTTTTATGGTCACCAGATAAAATTACCATTAAAGAAAATCTGTTATCCATATTTTAAAATAAAGAATAGCTGTCTTAGCCATCCCCTGTTCTTTATTACTAGTAATCCTATTGGGTCTATTTTTTGTTGTTGTTATTGTTAATAATGTCAGATCTATACTTTTTTGTGATAATTAATAAATAATAATGTAATAATATAGATGTATATATATAATATGTATAATATATAAATGTATGTAATATATGTATATAATATTATGAAAATATATAATGTAAGAATATAAATTTACTTCTGTGGGTAACACAAGTTCTATTTACATAGACTGATATCTTTCAGGGAGTACTTAATACATCTCCAGTTCCTTTTCAGGCCTGTGCAAGCTGCCTTTTCCCATACTTTTGTAAATAGGATATATTCTTGAAGCATAATATAGGCATAATTTTTTCTGCTATGTATAAATGTTCATTACTTTCAAGATGAGTATTTTATCTGTATCAAAAATTGTGGATGGTAAACCTGTCATTTCAAAATCATTTGAAAGGACAGGCTGAAGTAACTGAATTTTTACAAATCAAATGAGTAGATATTTAATTATAGTCAATATTATACCATTTTAAATACTTTCCAGTGACCATATATGTTTTTCCATATATGTTTATAAAATATTAATTTCCTTTTTCCTCTTCCATCCAGCCACTACAAGCCTGCTTGCAGCCCTTTACAGTTTTATCTGCAGCGTCGTGGCAGTAGCCTTACTGTATGGATTGTGTTATGGCGCTTTAAAGGTGAGCAACACATTGTAGTAGGTTTTGTCTTTAAGGCTGTTTTTCTATATGAAGATTGTTTTAAAGTGACTAATAATGATTTTTTTCCTGGTGCCACATTAGCATTAATTTCCATGATCTTCATATGTTGAACATTATCCTCATTCTCATTTACTTCGAATTTGAAAGCAATTTCATAGTTAACCATTATTAAAAGAAAATCCTTTTCCATGTAATAATCATTGGTTTATACTATAAATAGATTATTAAAAACTAGGCTGGCCTGGGATAGAGGTAGGCATGGTGGTAACAGAATATGAAATTAATTTTAGATTTCTAGTTAAGAATATGAGTAACTACTGTTCATATCAAGATTTCTTGAAACTCATGAAGTCAGAGGGAGAAAGTCAAATACTACATGATCTCTTTCATAAATAGAAGACAAAAACAACAACAAACAGACACAAAGAGACAGATTGGATTAGTGGTTACCAGAGGGGAAGGGAGGAGGGAGAGGGGTGAAAGGGGTGACTAGGCACATGTGTGTGGTGATGGATTATAATTCGTCTTTGGTGGTGAATATGATGTAACCTACAGGGAAATCAAAATATAATGATGTACACCCAAAATTTATATAATGTTATAAACCAGTGTTACCACAATAAAAAAAATAATAAAATAAAAAAGATTTCTTAAAACTTATGAGAACAAGTTCAAGGAGTGCAATTTAACATACATTCTAGTAAAAATTAACACACTGAGGGGCTGGCCCAGTGGCACAGTGGTTAAGTTTGCACGCTCCACTCTGCTTCGGTGGCCCAGGGTTTGCGGGTTAGGATCCCGGGTGCCGACCTACACACTGCTCATCAGCCATGATGTGGCGGCCACCCACATACAAAATAGAGGAAGACTGGCACAGATGTTAGCTCAGGGACAATCTTCCTCAAGCAAAAAGAGGAGGATTGGCAACAGATGTTAGCTCAAGGATAATCTTCCTCACCACAATAAAAATATATTAATGCACTGAAATTTAATGTCTCTATTGGTTTAGAAGGAGCTGGATGAGCCTTATTAGTTCCATTTTAAAAATATTGTCACCAAATTATGAACACAAAAATTTGTGTTAGAACAAATTCCCAGGATAGAACCCTGGGAAATGCCAATATTTAAAGGGTGGTTAGAAAATCCCAAAAAGGAATCCCACAAAGGAAACTTCGGAGGCACTACAGTTTGAAAAAAGTTTTCATTGAATTTGGCAGTTAATAGGTTATTGGTGACTTGAACAAAACAGCTTCTTTGGTTTTTTTGGCTGAGGATGCTAGATTAAGGTAAGTTTAGGTTTGAATAGATATTAAGGAAATGTATTCTACTCTTTCTAATATGTAGTTGGGAAATTTGTGCACATGATGGGGGCTGTGTTCTGGTTTTTATTTTTTTAAAAGATCTGAGACTTGATTGCATTTAAAAGGGGAGGGGGAAAATTGAGTAGGGAAGAAGACACTTAATGGAGCTAAGCCCAGGAAGGAGCTAGAGGCAATGAGATCCAAATCCAGGCTTCTCCCAGGTGTGCTACCTGTAAACCATCCTAGTATAAAGGTTTTAGATCTGTGTTTGCAGTCATGTTTTAGAAAGTGAGTCATTATTTGGAAGTTGCAATCGTAGAAGTTAACAGTGCAGTAAGTTTTCTAGCCTGGTGTACACAGGCCTGTTTAACTATGATTATGTTGCAGAAGAGCAGCAGTTGTAAAACTGCCAACTAGAACCTTGTGTCCGAAGGCAGGCAGGAAGATAAGTTTTCTTCCTTCTTCTTGGACATGGGATTTGCATTAAACTATTTTAGTTTTAGATGTCACCCATTATAATATAATAAAACTGCAGATTTAGTTAGGTACGTGAGCAAAGATTGTGTGTAAGAATTTCATTATAGTAGTGTTTGTAACAGCAAAAAGCTGTAAATGACCTAAATTAATTGTGGGGTAGCCACACAACGGAATACTGTACAACCACTAAGAAGAATAAAACCAATTTTTGTGTCTAAAGTGGAATAATTTCCAAGACATACTGTTTGTTTGGAGTTTTTTTCCAAGCTGTATTCAAGTATAATTGACAAAATCGTAAGATATTTAAAGTGTGTACAACGTGATGATTTGATATACGTATACATTGTGAAAGGATTCCCCCCATTGAGTCAATTAACACATCCATCACCTCATATGTTTCCTTTTTTTGGTGAGAACATTTAAGTTCTACTCTCTTAGCAAATTGCAATTATACAATACAGCATTATTAACTATAGTCACTATTTCTATACATTAGATCCTCAGACTTTCTTCATCTTTTCTTAATTTTTAGGTTTAATTTTTTGTTTAATTGTTTTTATTTATTTATTTATTTTTGCTGAGGAAGATTCACCCTGAGCTAACATCCGTTGCCAATCTTCCTCTTTTTGCTTGAGGAAGATTTGCCCTGAGCTAACATCTGTGCCAATCTTCCTCTATTTTGTACGTGGGTCCCTGCCACAGCATGGCCACCAGTGAGTGGTGTAGGTCTGTGCCCTGGAACCGAACCCAGGCCACCAAAGTGGATTGCACCGAGCTTAACCACTACACCACAGGACCGGCCCCTTTTTAATTTTTTTATTGAGGTATAATTGACATATAACTTTATATTAATTTCAGATATACATGATTCGGTATTTGTATGTAGGGCAAAATGATCACCACAATAAGTCTACTTAACATCTGTCACCATACATAATTACAAATTATTTTTCTTGTGATGAGAACTTTTAAGATCTACTCTCTTAGCAATTTTCAAATATGTAGTACAGTATTATTAACTGTAGTTGCCATGCTATACATTACATCTCATGAATAACCTAATTTATAATTGGGAGTTTGTACCATTTGACCCTCTTTACCCCTTTCTCCCTGCCTACCCTGACACACACCTTTTCATCTTATAACTGAAAGTTTGTACCCTTTTACCAACCTTATCCTGTTTCCCCCACCTCCCAGTCCTTGGCAACCACTTTGCTCTGTTTTTGAGTTCAGCTTTTTTTTAAGATTCCACCATGCGGTGTTTGTCTTTCTCTGTCTGACTTATTTCATTTAGCATAATGCCCTCTAGTTTCATCCATGTTGTTGCAAATGACAGGATTTCCTTCTTTCCTTCTTAAGGCTGAATAATATTCCATTCTGTGTGTGTGTGCACGTGCGCACACGTTCACACCACATTTTCTTGTTTTTTTAAATAGAAAGGCAATATGCCGGAAAGTGGATGTTTACCTTGTGCCTTTTTAAAAAAAAAAAAACACATCCAATGGCCTGTATATACATAGAATAATTATGGAAGAATACACAAGAAATCGATAACAGTAGTTACTTCTGGACAGTTAGACTCGTTGGCAGACATCATTGCATACCTTCAGGACTGGTTTAATTTTTCTTTTTATCTATTCACTAATATAGACTGTTCCATCTATTTTCTGATTTCTGCTTTCCTTATATTTACTCTTTTGTTTTTCCTTGAACTTTTTAGCTCATTAAAAGCTAAAATTTTTTCTTTAAGGCAACTTTAGTGCATCCTATTAATATGTGTATACTTTCTAGATGTTTTCATATTTTTAAGAGATTGCTAGATTTTGGGCCGTTATTATATAATAAAGCAAAAATGTTCAGACCCACTATGGTGGGTAGAACAAACCCACCTTTTAATCTTTTGAACTAGATCAGCTTCCCTAAGCAGTTTTGTTTTTCATAGTTTCTGAATTTTCTCCTACTTACAAATCAAAGAGTTCATTAAAAACTCAGAGGTGACTGGGTTTGTTCTGCTTTTTGTTTTTCTAGTTAGTGACTCAATAAAGGTGGCAGTTACTATCTGTTTGCATATTCATGAATTACGTTGAATGCGTGAGTATGCTAAATTCTTAATCTAAATGAAGTAAGTCATTTTGAGATCAATTTAAGAATGTTTTTCTTTCATCTGAGAGCAATAAAAAGTAGTATCAAGCATTCATCAAATACAGACAGGCGTCTTTTGTTTTTTTCCAAATACTTGTTTTGTTGTGTTTTAATTGAGATAGAATTTACATATATGGTGAAATCCATATATCTTAAATACACAAATTGATAGGTTTTGACAAATGCATACACCTGTGTAATATACACCCCTATCAAGATATAAAATAGTCCCAACACCACCAGAAAGTTCCCTCATGTTCCTTCCCAGTCCCCCTGTGTAACCACTTTTATATAAGATTACAGTTGTTGAACTTCATATAAATAGAATTGTACCATATTTACTCTTTTATAGGTAACATTCTTTGTTCACTATAATGTTTTTGAGATTCATCCACATGTGTATCAGCAGTTTGTGTCTTTTTATTGCAGAGAAGTATCTCATTTAGTTTTAAATCCTCCTTACTCCTATCTACTGTCTTAGAGATGAACGTCTGAGTTGTTTCTCCTTTAGGGATATTAGAAATAATGCTGCCGTGAACATTCTTGTACAAGTCTTTTTATGGACACGTGTTTTCATTTTTCTTGGGTAAATAGATAGAAATGGAATTGCTAGTTTTCCAAAGTGGTTGCGCTGGACATCTTTTTTTAGTTTTAATTTTTACTGAAGTTGTACGTACATATCTTTTAAAAAGTCAGGTATTTCTACAAGACTTATTACTAGGAACAGCAATCCCTACTCCTTTATCCCTTTCTCAGAGTTACAACTTTCAGTTCTCTACGTAACTCACTTCTACTTCTACTCTTGTATTTTCTTAAGTTTTAGGCATTATCCATGGACTGCGCTTGATGGAAGTTGTAGGCTTAACTTTCTTTCACCTCCCCCACATCTCCACCACACACACGGTCTTCCTTGTCTCCCTCAGACACCTGATATATTTACCTTATTATCATGATGCAAATGCTATTCCTATATGTATTTTGTTTTCTCCTTTGTTTTCTTATGTATTTATCTCTCTTTCATTCTCAAACTCTTCACGTATTGTTTAACTTTCCTCTCAGTGAGTTCCAACATATCAGAGTTCCTGGTTCCACCACCGCTTAACTGGACAAATTACTTAAACCTTCTGTGCCTTAGTTTTCTCATCTATAAATTGGGAGTAGTAATTCGTATCTCTAAGGATGATTATAAGAATTATTTAGGAAATACTTATAAAGATCTAAGAATGGGGCTCAACACACAGTGTTCAATACGATAATAGGATTTTGGCATAGCTATTTAAAAAAAGGTCTCTATGTTGTGATGTGGAACAACTTCCAAGACTACTATTAAATGGAAAACAAAGCAAGTTGTATAAATAAACTACCATTTGTTTATTACTACCACTCCTGCCATTCTCATGAATGAATCCCCAGAGAAAGATGAAGGATTAGAATGGTGTTTACCTCACAGGCCATACTTCAGAACTGTTAACTATTCCTTTTATCAGTATTATGTGGTCTGTACCAGGTACCATGCTGGTGGATTCCAGAGATACTGCAGTGAGCAGAGCAGACATGGTATATCCACAAACCACACCCATGTGTTTGGTTGGCCTTAGAAGCTAGCCTTTATATTATTTATTTCTGGGAATACACAGTTCATTTGTTCAACAAACACTGAATGCCAGCTCAATGTTATGGAGGATAGAATGGCATATTACATGAGCAGAGGCATCAAGAAAGTAGCACCCCAAATGTCAGCATTCTGTTTTGCCTAATGTGTTGTCGTGTATTGCCTTTTCCTACTCCATTATTACTTATAATCAAAAAATTTACTTCACTAAGTCATTTTGTTTTTCAAAGGGAAAACATAGTTTACTGTAAGCTTAATACCACTTAAAATCTGAAAGAAATTGACAGCAGCATGAATCATAAGTAAATGTATTGTTTCTAGTGTATAAATAGAGCTTTCAGTACCAAAAGAAATCTGAAGTCGGTGTAGCAGCTAGATTCCAGCTCATCAGAAAGTAAATCTAAATTTATCTGGAATAAAATGCAATTAGTAATATGGCTAAAATGTTTTTGTTGAAATTAATTATCTTTCTCCAAAATACTGACATAAAAGGATTATATGATTATAAATTAAAAGCATATTCTGTCAAATTTTTTTTCCACCAGGATTCTTGGGATGGCCAACATATTCCAGTACTTTTCTCCATTTTTTGTGGTTTATTAGTGGCAGTGTCCTATCATCTCAGCCGACAAAGCAGTGATCCATCTGTGCTTTTGTAAGTGAAATCAATTGTTACTGATTTAAAGAAATTTAAATAAGTTGGCATTTTCTTCAACTTTAACTTTCAAGATCTGTTTCCGAATGCCTTGCAAAGTGGTATTGACGTAATCTATAATTCACTTTCGAAATATATTAACTCTGAGTCGTTCTAACCACATTGACTGAGAGTATTTGTTAGCTTTTTCTCTCCTAAGTATTAAAACTATGTTTTAATAAAAATATTCTCACGGTATGCTTATTTATGGCATCTTAAACTTTTTAGAACTTATCATTTGCTAGTGATTAAATATACTTGGATCACTTGGTTTTTAGTCATAAACTTTGCCATTTGAAGTACTGGTTTTCAGGTTATGTATGTATTTTTTATTAATTATTTTCTCTCTCTTTTTTTTAATGTAAAGCTCTTTGGTACAATCCAAGGTTTTTCCAAAAACAGAAGAGAAAAATCCAGAAGACCCTCTGTCTGAAGTAAAAGATCCACTGCCTGAAAAACTTAGAAATTCTGTTGTAAGTTTTAGCTTTTTAAAATCACCTAGAAGACATTAATTTTAGACAGTTCATCATGTTATATAAGGAACGCTTTTTCAAGGCCTTTAATAGTTAGAGGAAAATGTATAGTTGTGTATTATTGATTGCTTTTATTTCAAATTTTAACCTAGAAGAAATGCTCATTCCTCACAGTTTGTTTCTACATGGAACAGTATGCTAAACATTTGTTTTCAAATCAGATGAAATTAGCTAATTTCGTTGTTTATAGAATTCTTAATCCTATGCAATTTAAGCTAGGATTTGAAAGATGGATATTAACATAAGTTAGATTGATTTTGTTGTTATTGTTCTTATGGATAAAAACTCTGTCCTTGTAAGCCATCTGCTGGTGTTTTTGCGTGTTCTGTTTCTCAGGGTCTGAAAAGTGCATGTGTGTGTTTATTTTCCAGATTGAAGGAGAGAACAAAAACCTGTACTAATTTAATATACTTAATTAAGTAAATGTAGTAATTTTTTTTAAATTTCTAATTTTGTGAATTTTAATGTTGCCTGTATTCTCTCGGTAATTATTTGAAAAATGAATTCTATAGATTTATATCTGCTTTATGGAACAAAACATAAAACATTCTTTTTCTGAGTTATTTTATATTACTTCCATTTGTGAAAGACTGAACTTATATATGACTTGAATTAGACATAATTTTTATCTTCATTGAACTTAAGCTGTTCACATATTCTTTAGAAAACTTGAGAAATACCAGAACTTCCTCAAGGTATAATTTAAACAATTTTTTCTGACTTGAGTTTCCCTGTTTGCAAAGGACATTTCCTGTTAAATATAGTAGGATATTTCTGAATCTAGCTTAAAAGCATAAATCTACAGGTCAATTGATGACCAAAGATATTAAGAGGTTTCTGGTTTTTACTACAACCACTAAAAGAACCCAAATCCAGTAAGTAAAATAGGACATATGCCTGCAGTTTGAACATTTCAAAAGACCAATGAAAATATAACTTTGTTATCCAAAAGGATATAACCTATAAATGATACAGTAACTTAAGTACCTCATTTCCTTTTCCCATATGTAAAAGTAAAACTTACAGACAAATGGGGGGAAAAAATCTTCATTCTAAAAGACTTTGTTATGATATGTTATACAGTGTGTGAAACTAGATTAGTTTAATTTCCTTGGTATTGCAGTGTCAAACCACAATATAAGGAAATTGAGGAAGAAAATAAGACTTATCATAACTGTTATGTGTAAGAAATATCTAGAAGTGCTAAAGAATAGGATCAATGAAAAAATTATTTCTTAAACTTTGCCAGTTGGGAATAAGGGAAAGATGTTTTTGTAATTTTACGTAATTGTTTGGTAATTCTGTTTCGTTCCACAGAGTGAGCGTTTACAGTCTGACCTAGTGGTATGCATTGTAATTGGTGTGCTATATTTTGCTATTCATGTAAGCACAGTGTTCACAGTACTGCAGGTAAGGAATCATTTTGTTCTTTTGGTTGGGGGAAAACAACTTTGTTTGGACTCATTTCTGATTTGATTGTAATGTTTGTGCATAATGCTGAAATATTTGACTTTTTATTTGTTTGATTTTAACAACAAATATTTATTTTCTTATGGTTTCTCTGGGTCATGAATCTGGGAGTGGCTTAGCTGGCTGATCCCAGCTCAGGGTGTGTTATGATGCTGCGATCATCTGGGGCTACATTCAGCTGAGGCTGTTTTTAGCAGACCTCAGTTCCTTGCTGACTGTTGGCCAGAGACCTTAGTTCCTCTCCATGTGGTCCTTGCTGTAGTCTGCCTGAGTATCCTCACGCAGTGATTCTAGAGAGAGCCAGTGATCCTAGAGAGAGAAAGCCCAAGACAGAAGCCAGTCTTTTATAACTGATGTCAGATGTGACATACCACCACTTCTTCTGTACCTACGGGTCACATAGGGCAACCCTGGTACAGTGTGGGAGGGGGATACAGCAGCATAAATACCAGGAAGTGAGGACCGTGGGAACCACGTTGGACACTGACTACCACAGTGCACCCTCTGGCCTCCTGATTCACATCTCTCCCAAATGCAAAATACACTTATCTCTTCCTCAAACCCCCAGAAGTCTCATTCCAGTACAACTGGAAGTCTAGAACCTTGTCGTCTAAATCAGGTCCAGGTGTGGGTGAGGCTCCTCAGTGTTGTTCCTCCAGTACAGTTCTGCTCATCTGTAGGCCGTGCAGTTACCACTCTCAGTGCTCTTCATTCTTTTGTGCAGATCCGTGTTCCCACATGGTGTCAACTTGATTATGATATACCTTTGCATAATTTTCTTCATGTTTTTGTGCTTGAGGGACATTGAATCTAGTTTTCATCAAATCTGGAAAATTTTGGTCATTATTACTTCAAATGTTTTTTCTGTCCTTCTCTTTCTGCTGTCCTCCCCCCACCCCCAACCTCATGGACTCCAGTTACGTCTTAGGTCTCTTGAGTTTGTCCTACAGTGCACTGATGCTTTGTTCATTTTAATTTCTTTTTTTCTGTTTAATTTTGAATACTTTCTATTGCTATGTTGTTAAGTTCACTAATCTTTTCTTCTGTAATGTGTAATCTTTCATTAATCCCATCCAGTGTATTTTTCGTCTCAGAACTAATAATTTTCATCTTTAGAAGTTTGATTTAATTTTTTTTTGTATCTCCCATGCCTCTACTTACCTTTTTGAACATGTGGAATTCAGTTCTAACTCAAAGTCCCTGTGTCCTAATTCTGACTTCTGTGTCATTTATGGGTTGGTTTTGATTAATTGATTTTTCTTTTCCCTCACGGATGGTAGTTTCCTGATTCTTTGCGTGCGTGGTAGTTTTTGATTGGATGTCAAGCATTTTAAATTTTACCTTGTTGGGTATTGGACAATTTTGTATTTTAGAAATATTCTTGAACTTTATTTTTCAGCACCATTAACTTACTTGTTAACAGTTTGATCCTTTCAGGTCTTGCTTTTAAGATTTCTAATTTGGGAGCAGGGCTATGTTTGGTCTGAGGCTAATATTCCCCTACTGAGGCAACACCCTTTTGAGTACTGTGACCAGTGCCCTGTGAATCTTGAGCTTTTCCCGTCTGACTTGTGGGAAGAGGCACTATTCCTAGCCCTGTGTGCATGCTGGGGACCATTCTCTCTAATCCTCTCATGTGGTTTTTTCCCTGGCCTCACGTAGTTTCCTCACACACGTGCCGATTCCCCTGCGTACTCGAGCGAGACCCTCTGCAGATCTTCAGAGTTCTGTCTCTATGCAGCATTCTCTTTGGTACACTGTCTGTTCTGGTGAACTCTGGCTGCCTTGGTCTTGCCGAACTCTCAGTTCTCTCTCTTCAACTCGGGCTACCAGGCTTCACAAGGGTTCCCCTCCCTGCGCTACAACCTGGAAACTCTCTCAAGGCAGTAAGCTGGGGCAGTCCTGGCACTGACCTTATCTGTTTCCTTACTCTCAGAGTTTACTGTTTATTTCCTTATGTCTAGCGTATTGCAAACCATTGGTTCGTGTATTTTATTCTGTTTTTGTTGTTTCATGTGGCAGAGTAAATTCCTTTTATTCCATTTGACCAGAAGCAAAGGTTATATTGTTTAATTTTGTCTAACATTTTTGCCTGTTTTTCTTTTCTTCCAATTTGAGCTGTTAATTTTTGAGTACTTTGCAAGCTGAGTAAGGTCCACTGGGTCTTCAGGGCTCACATGGAGGCCTCTTCATGTCCAAGAGGTTCCAGAGTTTCCAAATATATGACTTTTAATTTGAATATTTGAAGTAATGGTGCTTGTTTTCTTCTTTTGTGAATTTAGTCATACATAAAAACTTTCTTCTAATGATATACCATATGAAAGCAGGAAAAAATAATATTTTTTTTCGTCTTATCCTGCTCTTCACTCAGACTTACAGTTTTATTTAGCTTATGTCCTTTATCTCTGCTAGTTAAAACAATTTAATACATAGCTCTGCAAGTCGCATGAAACATTCTTGGAGTACCAAGCAGTACACCTCAGGCCACTCTCTAATTATATGATAGTGTGAGACACCAAAGAAAGTAGTTAACACATTAAAAAAAAAATTTTTTTGTGAGGGAGATTAGCCCTGGGCTAACATCCATGCCCATCTTCCTCCACTTTATATGGAATGCTGCCGCAGCACGGCTTGACTAGCGGTGCGTTGGTGCGCGCCTGGAATCCGAACCTGCGGACCCCGGGCCGCTGAAGTGGAGCTCACGCGCTTAACCGCTATGCCACCGGGCCAGCCGCCAACACATTTCTAAATAGCTGTAATACACAAACAATCACTAACTTTCATAGCTGATTTAATCAGAAAAACTACATAATATAGAAATGTTAACTGCAAATATTTAGTTCTTAGATTCTAAAGTTGACTTTGCTATTTTCCATTATCAAGGGCAAAATTGAACTGACAAATTAGAAGTTCTCTTGTGGGTCTCAGTATCACTTTTAATTTTTTCAACTTTATTCTTCTTTTAGCCTGCTCTCAAGTATGTGTTGTATGCATTGGTCGGCTTCGTAGGTTTTGTAACCCATTACTTGCTGCCCCAAGTTAGAAAACAGCTACCCTGGCACTGTTTTTCTCACCCTCTGCTGAAGACAGTGGAGTATAATCAATATGAAGTTCGAAGTAAGTATTTCATTAACACTCTTCTTTTCAATACTATGGATTTTTTCTTTTACTTTGTTGACAGATGACAGTTAAATAAGTTTCATTAAGTAACGCTGTAGCTTGTGTTTCTTGTACTTAGGTCTGAAGCTGTAATGAGTCAAACCTTTTGCAGGACGCTTTGCTTTCAGTTGAGGTGTAAATGTCAGTGCTGCCATGCCGACTTGCCACAGAATAACCTTACTTCTTCCTTCTCTAAATCGTTCCTCACAGCCCTCTCCTTGGTGAATCCTTCTGTGTGTGTCTGTGACTTCTCTTTCCAGTCCCCACCCTTCACTCAATTTTCCTTGCCACATGCAGGCAACCCAATCCTCTTTAAAACTTCTATTTGAAATACTTGTAACTCAAAGTGTAGGGAGAATAGAAAGGTCTTTGTTTCTGTTTCCACCAGAGACACCAGGTCCTACCAAAGAGGGATTTAAAAGAGTTGATCAAGTGAAAAGAAGTTAAAAACATTTGTAAATGCTGTTACTCGTTCGGATTTGGGATGAAGTATAAAGTGACTCAAAAAGAGGTAGAAGGCTCGTTCGCTTGGCGAGCTTCTTGCCTCTTGAGACCCTGACTTTTCTTTCTTATTACAAGTATTCAGTCCTTGTTCACTGGGCTCATGACCTGTAATATACTGTTAATTCCTCATTTTAGAGAAATGATAAAAGTTCATATCTATGTCATCATTTATTCCTTACCAGTGATTAAACAGGCCAACGTTTTTTCCTCAGACTTTTTCTTCAGTTAATGAATTACCATAGGGGGTAAATTCCTCAACTGTTTGAAATTAAATTCTTGAGAGAACTCTGAGGCTTTTGAAAGCTTTTTATACCTTCCTTGACTTTGCATTCTCAAAGGAAATTTCCTGGGCCTTTTAACAAAATTGCTTAAAGCATCATGGTACTGTAATCTTGATCACCAGTTTGATCCTGGAGAGATAATTAAACACTAATGTGTAGATTGCAGTAATGTCATGTCATACTGATGTCCTTGTGCAGGCCTTTTACAGAATATGTGCTCTTTTAATAAGGGGAAATGTCGTAAAACTGTATAAGAATCTGTACTGGCTCATTCTTACCATCAGGACAATAACTCAGACTGATGTGTTTTTTTGATGGTGAACTATTAGTATTGCTTTCTTATATAAAGGATAGCAAGTGTATCTGGTTTGTTTTAAAGAGCAGTTTTCATTAAAGTACATCATTGATCATATTGTTTATTTTTGATCTTAAAACATATAATCTGAATTTTTACAGATTTGGATCAACATAACATTTTTGACTAGGTATTAGCCAAGTTGATTTTTTTCCCCTTCTACTGATTTTAGCAACTGAAAGAAAAATATTATGCATTAGAGAACTTCCCTAAGCCTGGTGACATTGTTTTCAGATAGCCAGAGAACCTTATTTTAAATCTTTGTTTGTCCTAGACACTTTCCCCAATGAAATAATACTAAATTATTGGAAAAAATATTATTGGCAATGAAAATGACTCTTATGAAGTGTGTGAATCCAAAACATATCATACTTTTATATCTCTTCTGAGATATATGTCTTATAAGATACGTACAGTCAGGCGCCACGTAACATTTCGGTCAACGACAGACCACATATACAATGGTGCTCCTGCAAGATTAGTACCATATAGCCTAAGTGTGTGTAGGCTATACCATCTAGGTTTGTGTAAGTACACTCTGGTGTTCATAATACATCAAAATCATCTAAAGCATTTCTCAGAACATATCCCTATTGTTTAAGTGACGCATGATTGTGTGTGTGTGTATGTGTGTGTATCTGGGATTTTAAGAACAGATAATTTAATAGGTCATTTATTTCTTTATGGGGAAAGGGAAAGTGTAATAATCTTTAGTAACCTTTTCTCCAAAAGTGATAGGCATAAACGAGAAAAGGTTATGGTTAAAAGTTGAGGTTTCAAGAATTAAAGTTTAAAATGAAATTCATCTAAATTTAAGTCTCATCTAAGTTGCAGAGTTGGATGTGTCTCAGAATCCGTAGAAGTTGACAGTTGCTTGAAGTACTGGAATTGTAGAGCTGAATTTGAGTTGTAAGATTTTTCTTTCTCATCACATTGCCAAACAATTTTATACATTAGATGATGTGGTCTTCTTGACTTCTGTTGCCTTGTTAGATGCAGCCACTATGATGTGGTTTGAGAAACTTCATGTGTGGCTTCTTTTTGTGGAGAAGAATATCATCTATCCATTGATTGTTCTCAATGAACTTAGTAGCAGTGCAGAGACAATTGCTAGTCCAAAAAAACTGGATACAGAGTAAGTACGGTACTCCTCTAATCTAAGTTTGGCTACTGGAGGCTGTCATAAGCAATGTCCTAAGTTATTGATCAAGTAACAAATAATCATTGAGTGTCTCTTTGGTACAAGGCACTGTGAGATAAAGAATTCAGAAGAAATTTTGTCTTTGACTTCCTTTTTCTGAACATCTGTTTCTGCTCTTGGCAAATCACTACTCCAGACCTCTCATTGTCAACTGATATTTTATGAGAGAATATTTATTAAATAAGGTTACTTTTTAATATCAGATGATAACTTTGGGAGATGGTTATTTTTGTGTACTGTGTACATCAGACTATATAAGGTGGTCACTTGGTTATACAGTCATCTTATAGGCCCACTTACTAGACTAGGTACATGTTGTTGGGTAAGCGTTAATATATGTTTTTCATGTGCTAAATGCTATTAATGTTAAAGCAATAGAATTATTGAGAAACTGGAGAACCAAAAGTGAAAATTGCAGTACTTTTACTTATTTTTTAAACATACTTATTTATATAAAGGGTAAGAATCATAATACATATTATGAAAAGGGAATATTATAATAGTTTATTTTAGGATGTGATTTGTTTAGTTGTATAAATCATTTTTAGAAGTTTAAATTTGATATGTGTTGTAAGCTTAGTAAATGAAATGGTGATTTTTCTGAAGTTAGCGCATTTTCTAAAGTTTTCAGTCATTGGTTGATGAGTTGTGCTTTCTTTATATTATAGATTAGGTGCTTTAATGATCACCATTGCTGGTCTGAAGTTGCTACGATCCTCTTTTAGCAGCCCTACGTATCAGTATGTCACAGTCATCTTCACTGTGCTCTTTTTCAAAATTGACTATGAAGCTTTTTCAGAGACCATGCTATTAGATCTCTTTTTCATGTCCATCCTCTTCAACAAGGTAATTTATCACCAAAAAGAATATCCCTATCTATAAAAAGTATCTCCCTAAGTAATATGCTATTTAGTGAGGATTATGCTTGCATTTCATTTGCTTCATTATCTTTCAAGTAATGTCTTTCTTCAAGCAACCAGTTATTTAGGAACATATTAGAATTCCTAAACAATGCAAATCACTGTGATCCAAAAAACATATTTCTTGCTATAGCTAGGAAGGTAAGAGTAAGTTATGTGGAAAAATTAGAGAAACATTAATAAGAATATATTTTTAAGTATATGGGATCTTCCAAAGGGATGTGTGGTTTTGAATAATTTTGGAAATAGCCATGGTAGTAGTTGAACTGGGCTGTGGGCTGCTGGATAGATGATGGGAGGAAATAACCTGATGGGAGAATGAAGATGGTAGATAGTGAGGGTGGTGAGGCCATGTGGGAGCAATCAGAAATTAGTTTGGTGACATTTGCAGAATACTGTGAACTTTACAGAATGCTGCGAAAATGTGTTATCCACCCGTAAGATAGATGCTTTTAGTTCTTTTACAAATAAGATGGTAAATATGCATCTTCTGCCTCCCATTCCAAGAAACTTTTTGCTGAACCACACTACCTTTCTAAATGAAATAGGTTGTGCAGTCAGGTTATTTATAAATTAAGTAGACCTTAGATTTCATGTTAACACTGACCACATACAAAGGACTTTGACATATATTATCCCATTTGATAGGTAACAGAGAGCTGAAGCATATGAGCAGCTACAAAACACAATGAAAGCCCAATTTTAGGAAAGTTAGCCTGGTCAGCCACATTTGAGATGAATTGGGGAAGAGAGAACCTGAAGGTATGGAGAACAGTTTAAGAGATTGTGACAGTAATTTAGATGTGATAGAGGTCTGATGTAGGATGGAAACAGATCAAATGGAAAACCATTAATCTGAACAAGATTTTAGTGATAGTCAATTTCAAAATATTGTGCTAAATAGCTTCTAAAATATTGCAGTATTGTATTTGTTCCATCACTAATTTGCATGCATTTTTATCATTTATTCCCTCTTCTAGTGAGCATGGTTAACCAAAGGAAGAAGCCAGAAAGTTAATCAGAGAATTGTTTGTATAAAGAAGCATGTGATTTCTCACAAATTTAAATATTTAGATTGGAAATTGTATTGCATTGTATTATACTGGTTGGGAAAAAATGAAAGTTGCAGTAAAATATAAACTAAACAATCCTTGAAATACGGTCACTATGCCTAACTTGTATTAGTTTGGATTTTCTTAATGCATTTGTTTGTTAAGTGAAATGTTTTTGAGAACATACCATGTTCTAGAACTGTTCTAGATGCTTAGGCTTCATCAGTGAACAAAACAGAGAAAGCTCTGCCCTTAAGGAATTTGCATGTTGTATGGTTACTTGATAGAACTCGACAGTGATAATAAGCAAGTAATATTCAAGGGATCTCTTTAGATATATTTTTTATTTTAAGATATCATTGTAAGATGCGCTATTGATTTAATAATCTTTCAAGAAAAAATTGAATGTAAAAAAATATTTTTACCTACTAACCACTTATCCATGTAATTGCATATCATTTTTTTCAATATTACAGTCAAAATTTGAGTACACTCTGTTTCATATTTAGAAATCTGGAGAGTTTTCTGAATCACTGCTTTTAAGCAGTTATGGCATCTTGATCATATACATGCCGCTCTTTCTTCCTGTCGTCCTGATCACATCAGTGCCGACGATTGTCAGCATAATTCTAAGTCATGGAAAGAATGCAGGGGTGCATCTGCATTTTCTAGTTGGTTGAAGTTATGATTTCTTTTTTAAATTGGAAGTTAAACGGGGTCATTTGTAAATCAGCTAAATGATTGAAATATGAAGTGTTTGGTGCTTGGATCATGGCACCGAATTTGTCAGAACTTCTTGCTTTTAAGATTCTGTGATCTGTTTTGAGAATTGGGCCTTGTGTTGCCGAGCATACAGAGGCAGTCTGGGGCAAACACAGTAATTCTGTTTCATGTTGAAGTCATGTTCAACAACAAAACAGATGTTAACTTAAATAAGCTTAAAATATGTTGTGTTTCCGTTGACAATAACAATGGAGATTATGAACAGTTGCCCAACACACTACTAAATTCTTAGGCAGTGACAACTGTATTACAACTTCATGCCCTACCTGGCTGCTTTCAAATTCCTATTGACATTGCACTTAAAACATAGTTTCTAAAGCACTAAAATTTGAGGAACGTGTGTGTTAGAATACAGATATATTACTTAAGCTTTATAGACGTCTAGATTTCCTGCCTTTTGTTTTGCTTGTAGTAGTAGTAAAATAGTCAATAGAAGGCATAGAACTTTTTAAACAGATGAAACAAATCCAGAAATCAGCTAACTGTCTTTTCTTAAAAATATATACAGTGTTTGGGCAGTTGATATGTCTTTTCCTTTTATGCAAATGGCAAATAATTTCAAGTCATTTCCCTATTAGGAAGAAAATACATTTTAGAGGTCTTCATTTTCTCATTCAAATATCTGATGGTAAGTTTTTTGCTGATTATTTTCCTTTCCTCCTACAGCTTTGGGAACTCCTTTATAAACTGCAGTTCGTGTACACCTACATCGCCCCATGGCAGATTACATGGGGTTCTGCTTTTCATGCTTTTGCTCAGCCCTTTGCAGTGCCTCGTATCCTTCTAATAAAAGTTTTATAAGAAAGGGCAGTGATATCCTTGATGAGAATGTTGGTTTGCAGGCATAGAGTATAGGTTACCTTGTGATAAATTATCAAAAATCCACAATCTTTTGAGTCCACACCTATACTGATTTTGATTGTTTAACTTGTATTAACATCTGTGGCCTACAGATCATCTGAACATGAGAAACGTATTAAGGTTTTATAAATAAGTAGTGCTGATTTAAAATTTTATGTTTATATATGTGAGTATTAAAGTCCAGGAATTTTCTAAATACAAAATCTTTAGAAATACTTTTTTTTTTTGTGAGGAAGATCAGCGCTGAGCTAACATCCACGCTAATCCTCCTCTTTTTGCTGAGGAAGACCGGCTCTGAGCTAACACCTACCGCCAGTCCTCCTCCATTTTCTCCCCAAATCCCCAGTAGATAGTTGTATGTCATCATAGTTGCACATCCTTCTAGTTGCTGTGTGTGCAATGTGGCCTCAGCATGACCGGAGAAGCAGTGCATCGGTGCGTGCCCGGGATCTGAATCCGGGCCGCCAGTAGCGGAGCACTCGCACCTTAACTGCTAAGCCACGGGGCTGGCCCTAGAAATATTTTCAAGTGAATGAAGATACAAAACATTTTTCATAATCATGATTGTAACTAAACTTTATGTCCAAAATTTTCTATTCTCATCATTTCTTAAAAGTACTTTCTAACTAAAAATAAAGGTTAGTGACCATATAGATGTTGAAATACAGACTTTTTGTATCTTTAATTTTAGTTTTATCTTCTGGAAAATTAAACCCAGGCATCTCTACCCAAGAGTGATATATGGACTTTTGCCATATACATGTTAGCAAATATTTCTTTGCCTCCCTTCAAAGCATCATGCCAGGCTGTACTTTCCTGGCTGTGTCTTTTTACTTCTACCCCCTTATACTGTCCAGTGCCACCCTTTTCTGTATTCCCCCATGAAGCTCATTTTTTTTTTTTTTGTGAGGAAGATCAGCCCTGAGCTAACATCTTGCTATTCCTCCTCTTTTTGCTGAGGAAGACCGGCTCTGAGCTAACATCTATTGCCAATCCTCCTCCTTGTTTTCCCCAAAGCCCCAGTAGATAGTTGTGTGTCATAGCTGCACATCCTTCTAGTTGCTGTATGTGGGACGCGGCCTCAGCGTGGCTGGAGAAGCGGTGCGTCCGGGTGCACCCGGAATCCAAACCCGGGTCGCCAGTAGCAAAGTGCGAGCACTTAGCCGCTAAGCCACGGGGCCGGCCCCGAAGCTCATTTTTCTAATTGCTGTCGTCGCAGTGTGTTTGTGAGATATATTTGAGTGTGTGAGCGCACGCTCAGATGAATGTGTGTATGTGCAAATGCATGTGTGTGCGCACATGCTCGGATGAATGTTAAGGTCCTTAACTAGTTTTCCCTTAGATTCAGCCATGTTGTTTGTTCAAGCTGCTGTATCGGCCTTCTTTTCTACTCCACTAAACCCCTTTCTGGGAAGTGCAATATTCATCACTTCATATGTTCGACCTGTGAAATTCTGGGAGAGAGACTATAAGTGAGTAAAATAAAACATGTGAAAGCCAGTTGTTATCTTTTTTACTAGGAAAAACTATTGGCAGTGTTGTTATAAGTAATTCATGATTAAGAATTTTTTGTCTTGAAGTATTTTGCTGAAATTTTATGAATACTCTTAAAGTTTCAAAATGATATAAAGTTAGAAGAGTCAAAGAATAATTACTCTTTACTTTCTCTACCTTATTTTCCTATTTGTAAGATTTTTTAAACATAGTTCTAGTTGAATATACTCATTTTTCTTTTTTTAATGGTATTAGAATTGTTTCATGTTAGTACTCTGAAACTTTATGCTGTACAATGTTACATCATAATAGTCATTATTAGTTATCTCATAGTTTTCTTAGAAATAGCTATTTCTAGAGCTAAATTTTTTATAGGTTATTTCTGGGTTTTCATGAGGATAAGTTTTTTTGTGTGTGTGAGGAGATCAGCCCTGTGCTAACATCTGCCAATCGTCCTCTTGTTTTTTTTTTTTTTTTTTGCTGAGGAAGACTGGCCCTGGGCTAACATCTGTGCCCATCTTCCTCCACTTTATATGGGATGCCGCCACAGCATGGCTTGCCAAGCAGTGCGTCGGTGCGTGCCTGGGATCCGAACCGGCGAACCCCGGGCTGCTGCAGCGGAGCGCATGCACTTAACCGCTTGCGCCACCAGGCCGGCCCCTCCGAGGATAAGTTTTTAATGACAATCTTTGTGCACAAAGTATTTTCTCAATTTTCTCTAATTTCTCAATAGGCTTAGTTCCTTAGGCCAGCTGTTTAATCTGATGTGTAGAAACTATCCTTGTATGTTATCTCTTCAAATTTTTTTTTTAAGAAAAATTTTTTAAAGGGGGAATTACTGAGTCATGGAGCTTAAACGTTTTTAAGACTTTTAATATGTATTAGCATATCAATTCAGAAAGAGCTTGTACTGATTTATAATTCTACTGGCCATCTCCATGACTTATTTTCTCTCTACACTTTCACACTTTGGCATGTATAATAGGTGAAAATGGTAATCTCACCTTTTAAACATTGAACTAGCTTGTGAATTTGAAACTTTTGTTGCTCTGGTCTTTCACCTAAAACCACACATAGTGTTTCCCTTTTTGGTGAATTTCAGTGTTATTTATATCCTATTCTTCTGGACCAACTTAAATTTAGTCCCAAATAACGGCTGTGGCAGCAGTTCTTAAACTTTCTGGTCTTAGAACGCCTTTACCATCTTAAAAATTATTCTAGGGCCAGCCCAGTGGTGTAGTGGTTAAGTGCGCAAGCTCTGCTTCAGCGGCCCAGGGTTCGCAGGTTTGGATCCCGGGTGTGCACGCATACACCGCTTGTCAAGCCATGCTGTGGTGGCGTCCCATATAAAGTAGAGGAAGGTGTGCATGGATGTTAGCCCAGGGCCAATCTTCCTCGGCAAAAAGAGGAGGATTGGCGTTGGGTGTTAGCTTAGGGGCTGATCTTCCTCAAAAAAAAAAAAATTATTCTAGTCTCCAAAGAGTTTTTGTTGATATGGGTTTTAACTACCCATATTTATTGTATTAGAAATCAAAACTCAGAAGATGTTTTTTTTCTTTTTTTTTTTTTTTTGAAGATTGGCCCTGAGCTAACATCCGTACCCATCTTACTCTGCTTTATATGGGACGAGCCACAGCATGGCTTGTCAAGCGGTGCATGGGTGTGTGCCCGGGATCCAAACTGGCTAACCCTGGGCCGCCACAGCAGAGCGTGCGCACTTAACTGCTTGCGCCACTAGGCTGGCCCAAAACTCGGAAGATTTTAAATGTTTATTTATGAATTTAAAAATAGCAACAATAAACCTATTACATGTTAACATAAATAACATTTTTGTAAGGAAAATAACTGTGTTTCCCATCCCACCAAATATATCAGTAAAGAAGATTGTCATTGTTTTTATAGTTTTATAAATCTCTTTAATGTCTGGCTTAATAAAAGGCAGCTGGATTCTCATATCTGCTTCTGCATTCAGTCTGTTGTTGTATTATGTTGTTTTTGTTGAAGTATTGAAGAAAATCTGGCCTCACAGACGTATAATTGGAAAAGAAAGAAGTACTTTAATAGCCTTTTTAGACAATTGTGGATATTCCTCTTTGATCCTTCACTAAAAGTTGACAAATGGTTTCCTAAAGATTAGTTGCAATGTGGAATTTAAAACCATATCCATAAATTTTTGGAACTGTGTTATATAAAAACCCACTGATATGTCCTATACTTTGAATGGATCTTTTACCCATACATATACCCATACCCATGAAATCTAATAACATCCTTTATCAATCATTTGGAAAGTATTCGTTCACTGAGTAATGTAGATATTCCAAATTTTGACACATTTCATTATACAAAATTTTTTAAATGTGTTCATTCATACCACTACCAATCTCAAAAGAAAACTGTTAAAGTATTGGGACGCTATCAAGCTCATGATGGTAGATATAAGTTTTACATAATTCGAATTTTTGCTTGAAAATTTGAATTTTATTTTTGGCAACAGATATCATTGTCAGTTCTTTCCCTTGAAATGACAAACTCACTTTCTTCTTTTTTGAGAGATGTCTGTCAAATACCCAAGTCTGAATTATCGTAGTTTAATCAGCCGTTCAAGTAAAAATGTTGTTCTGTGGAAAAAAAAAAAAAAGGTAGCTAGTACAGCTTGCAATTCAAACAGTTGCACAAATGTTTTCCCTTGAGACAACCATCCTGCCTCAGAATGCAGCAGAAGTGCTTTTTTTTGTTTGTTTGTTTTTGATGAGGAAGATTAGCGCTGAGCTAACATCTGATGCCAGTCCTCCTCTTTTTGCTGAGGAATATGTTGCCCTGGGCTAACGTCTGTGCCCATCTTCCTCTACTTTATATGGGACGCCGCCACAGCATGGCTTGACAAGCGGTGTGTCGGCGCACGCCGGGGATCCAAACCCGTGAACCCTGGGCCGCTGAAGCGGGGCATGTGCACTTAACCACTATGCCACTGGGCCAGCCCCCAGAAGTGCATTCTTTATGTGTATTCTGCCACACACAGTACTAGAAAGACCTGTTTTGAGGGGCTGCAATTTAATAAAAGTAATGTTTTTTGTTCCTTCATTAAGAGCATTTTTAACTGAAACTTGGATTTTTATTTATTGTTTTTTCTTGTGCATGTGTGGCAGTGAAAAATAGTGTAGTTTGGTGCTATTGCCTTGATTCATATTAAAGCACTAGCAGTCTTACCCACCATAGCTTTTGCACCATCAATGCAATGGTCAATACAATGAAAAAAAGCAAATAACAGCTCAGTATTATTATGAAAAGAGTTTTGATCTGGAAAACTCCTGAAAGGGTCTTGAGTCACCCACTCTGGGTTCTGTGGGTCACTTTTTGGGAACCACTGTTCTAAAAAACCCAGTACCGCTGGACATTAATACATGTACCTTCCCTTTGCAAAGAATATTTCTAAGAACTATATACAGTATGCATTTTTTCAATCTGATCAAAAAAAAATTTTTTTTTTACATTAAACTCATTAATGTCTTTCTACACACTGTTCAGTGAAACACCAGTTAGGAAATAACTGAGGTGTTTATGTATGATGGAGGTGGGAGAGTAAAAAACACTTTCCCCCTAAAATTGTGCTACTGAGGAGTGTAATCAGTATGCTGATCAAAGGTTTTTCTCAGACATATTCATAGTGATAATATTTATTTCATCGATATTGTATAGTTTTCTCCCTTTTAATTATTAGACATTTTTTAAATATAAAAAAGGTTACTAAAAATGTTTTATTTTGCCCTCTTCAGCACAAAACGAGTGGATCATTCAAATACAAGATTGGCTTCCCAGCTTGATAGAAATCCAGGTAATAGCTCTATTTGTGAGTAAAGAAGCAACTCTAAGGAATTTCTTATATATATTTCACTCCTGACTTGTTGGGAATCCTTTCTGGATTCCAAATGCTCCTTTTTTAAAAACTAAATATCGTTTGCTTTATTTTGTTTTTCTTTGGCAATGTATACATTGCCAAAGATAGAGTATCTACAATTTAAATCCCATCTTTTATAAAATGTATTTTAAGAATGCTAATAGGAATAAAAAATGCAGTTCAAAGATTGTTCTTACATAGGTTAAAAAACAGAACACAGTTAAAGTAAAAACTGGTCAGGATGTATTGAAGAGTATACAATCTGACCAATATGTGTGTTATTAATATGATTGCTTCCCCCCCTTCCCCAGATGTTTCAGTAAATATTAATTTCATTTCATTTAGTTTATTGTATATAGAGATGTCATGTGGGGAGGCCAAATAGCCACTAGGATAGGGCTTCAGTGGGTGGCATTTTGGTGGTGGTACCATTATTCTAAATTCTGGTTTTTAGTTTTGTTGTTTGGGAAACATCCTTTTGTCGGCCCACCCATTAGTAATCTGACACAGAGAGGGTGAATCTCACAGTGCCAACTATAAGAGATTAACATATCAACCAGAATTCCAATGTATTACTTTACTAAAAGAAGTATTACTCCCAAATAGACTGGAATATTTGTATCCATTTGACTTGCAGATTCCTTCAAATGCTCTATTTGAGAAACTAAATTATAATAATCAGATTGATTCGTAATTGTAAAATAAGGAGGATTGGTTATTAATGACTGTCATTATCACGTTCTGGTAGATAAAACAACCATCTCAGCTCTAGTGTGTTCTCGTAAGGGGCTTGGAATTCTCACGATGCTGATGATGCCATTCTGCGCATCAACAAGACCATGTTCTGAATTAATATGCCCATTTTATTGAAGTTAGAGTCTGGAGTTCCCCTTTCATTATTTTATTATTTAGTTAGGCTGAATTTGAAATAACTATTAAGCTTTGTATATTTTGCCACTCTCCAATGCTATACTTTGGGCACCCATTTACAGATTAGTGCCTTGGATGGGTTACTACTAAAGATGTTCATTTCACTTATTGGGTGATGTTTTATCATATTTTTTTTCTTAAAGATGACTCTAAACAATTATTTAGGTTCTTTGCTGCTGTTTCTGTATATATAGGTTATTTCTGTTAAGCTGGCTTTAGCCATCTTAATCTATAGGGTTTTTTTGACCTACCAACTTCTCTTTGTTTTGGGCTGTCTTGTTTGTTCAAATCTTGTATTACTTTATCCACTTCCTTTACCAGTATGTCTTTTTGTTCTAGTTCTGAATTTCTTTTATCTTTTTCATTTCTCTTGGGGTTTTTTTAATTAAAAGGTGTAGTTCATTCAACAGTGACAGAAAAGATCATGGACTGTTCAAGAGGTGGAAAAGACCTTAGCTTTCATCTAATCCAATTCCCACGTTATGGATGGGAACCAGGGAGTCAGAGAGGTTATGTGACTTCTAACTCAAATTCTGAACTTTTCCCATTACCTTATATTTCATTTTTATATAGAAATTGTAAGGGTATGAATATTATTTTCCTTGTCAAAAAATTTAGATACAATCCTAACTAGAAATTAGTTTTAATATTTTTAACAATCTTGTTTGTTGATATAAAGGGGACTTAGAGTAAAATTTAACATTTTTTTAATCCCTTCTTGTAGGATCAGATGACAACAACCTGAATTCCATCTTTTATGAACATTTAACCAGATCCCTACAACACAGTCTCTGTGGTGATTTGCTCCTAGGACGATGGGGAAACTACAGCACAGGAGACTGTTTCATTCTTGCCTCTGACTACCTCAATGCGTTAGTGCACCTTATAGAGATAGGCAATGGGCTTGTCACTTTCCAGCTGCGGGGACTTGAATTCAGAGGTAAGACATTCACCTTTTATTTCTATAATGTACTCCTGTGACGTCTAAGTTTTGTGTGTTTACATCTCAAATCAAAAGTTATCATAAAGTTAGGTCCTTAGTCTTTGGAATTGTGGAATGATAAAAGTTGTTAAAGAGTAATTATTAGATTTTTCCCCTAATTTCACATTCAGAGAAGAATCGTTTTTGTGGTATGCTATATATGTGAAGGTAGTGTCACTAGTGTATATTTGACTTGTTTTCTTGGTGATGTTGAATTTCTGTTCTGTGATTGCTGTCTCTTTTGGTAACCGGTTGCATATATGTGTTAGATGGCTGGTAGCATAGAATGCTGTGTTTTTGTGTGAGGCAGAGAGTAGCTAACCGAGTTACTTTCATATAGACGCCATGCCTTTGTCCTCAACAATTTTTTTTATTGAGGTGAAATTTACGTAACATCAAATTAACAATTTTAAAGTGAACAAATCAGTGGTTTTTAGTACATTCACAATGCTGTGCTACTACCACCTCTCTCTACTTCCAAAGCATTTTCATCGTCCCAAAATAAAACCCCTCATCCATTAAGCAGTTACTCCTCTTCCCCCACCAGCCCTCAACAGTTTTGTATACTGACAAATGAAGCTATTTCTACAAGAAAATCGTGCATTCAGAAACATATCAACTTGATGTTACCAACTGCTGTAAGTTGAATATCTTGTAAGCATGAAAAGAGACTTGTTTTATAGGAATTGAAGAAAGTCCTATTCATGCGTCTTTTTGCAATCTAGAGAATATTTGGACTTCAGAGTTTTTAGAGAAAGCATCCAAGCTGTGTTTTGATCTTTTCTAAGAAGGGCCTTGTGTGTTTTTAACCTGAAATAGGAAATCAGAAAGCATTTGACTAGATAGAGGATCAAATCAGACCTGTACCCTCTAGCTTTATTTTCACCTGGTGTTGAATCAGAGGGCTTGCAGCTGTGTCCTGTAATATCTTTGTTAGTGGAGCAGATGCTTCTCTAAATTTACTGCGTTCGCTGAAATAAGATTTTACTTGTGCAACACTCAGATTAAGGCAGTAAATGTTGATGTTTGTTATTCCTTGTTATATATATTTCCATCCTCTCTCTTTTTTAAAATGTCCTATTTTTGTCTTATGGTTTGTTTCTGCCTCTCCATCAGGAGTCCAGGACCTTAATTCCATCTCTTCTAGAGTCTTACCCAGTGCTGTTCAAATCTAGTCCAGCTAGACTCATTCAGAAGTCAGTACCCCCTCACCTCTACACCTACCACTGCTGTGACTTTAACTTCTTTTTTAATTGTTGGCACCTGAAGATTCCACCTTTGCTTTTTAATTCTAACTTTTTTTTTTTTTTTTTTTTACAAATGTACGTGGGGAGGCTATTTTATCTAGCATTTCTATGTGTGTGAGTCGGAAGGGGATCTTTCTTGTCATCTGCTGTTCTACCATATTGATCAGAAATTCTCCAAAGCAGAAATTGATCCAAATTCTCTCTCTCCCAGCTTTCACTCTCTGGTGCTGAGTAGATTCAAATAAAATTTTGGATAAATCCTTTGCCATCCAAACTCTCATTATTTGCCAAAAAAAACTCAAATCAAACCTATTTGGGAACACAGTACCCCTTACAGTCTTTCAATTTTCATTCAAATTAATTTTAACATGTCTGGTTTTCATAATAGTTAGTTGTATTTATTTTTACCAGTTATATTCACTATGAGGTGACTGAAAGATCTAGCTAATCCAGAAAACAATTGGTAATAATTCCTCATAGATATTCTAGAATCACTTTCCAAGTCTCAAAATTCTTTTTTCAATTATTACTATTAATTCCTGTGCTTATTGTTGACTTTATTTTCTAAGTAAAATGTATTACTAGGATGTGTTGAGGTAGAAAATATTCTTGGGGTTTTGGGGTAGAGTAAAAACATCCCGCATTAATTCCATTACTCTGTTCACTTTATTCTGCTACTCTGAACAAGGACCTCATTCTGTCCCTTCTGAGTAAATGTCAAAATCTCCAAATTCCCTCTTGCCACATCTCTTCTATATATACTACTAGCAAAGTGATCTGCGTAGAATATAGCTCTCATTGTGTTATTTCCTTTACTACAATAACTACAATTATTTCCTTTCCTTTGACTGACTTCCCAGAAAGATGACAAAAAGAATAAAATGAACTGATAACACATAAAACCTAAGCAAAGACCCAACTTCTTGCCACAATTTTAAAAACCCAGGCTCAGGAAGTTTCTTCTAGAAATTGAATAGTTCTTCTGCCCTTTCTAATCTATTCTAGCACATGGATAAAGAAGGAAAATTTCTCAAGGCTTTTTATAAAACCGGTGTAATACTGATGTCAAAATATGGCTAAACTAGCTAAAAAAGTAACCGTAGTTTGATTCACTTGTGAAAATAGATACAAAAATACTCAAAACCCATAATAAGCAGAAACCAGCAGTACTCTTTTTTAAGTACCCTTCACCAAGTCAATCATTTTTGAAATTAATTTAAGTATTAAAAAGCAAATTAATAGAATTTATCTTCTTTTAATAGGTCCCAGGAGAAAAACAATATAATATGATTCTCTCAAAACATGCCAGAAGACATTTGAGTAAATTTCATTTTAATTATTGGTTTGAAAAATACTCTCCATAATTACATCCTTATTCTGAAAAAAAATGTATATATGTATCTATAGTCAGTATCATATGTAATGGTCAACCACAGCAGGCATTCCTGTTAATGTCAGGTTCAAGGGAGGGTTTTTCTTGTAACCACTGTGTAACATTATTTTGAAAGTGTTCACCAATGTAATTAAACAATGAAATAATATGGATAAAATCAAATAATAGAATTGTTGAGGGTTCTAGAGAACTAAACAATGCAGTGCATTAGCTGGGCCATACCTGCCTCTTCAGCCTTCTCTTTTCTCATTCCACCACCACCACCAGCTGGGGCTGGGTTTCAGGGCATCTTTTTCTCTCAAAGCAGTGTGTTTCAAACATGAATGGTGTATATATTCTCTTCAGAGGAAAAAAATTATTGTGCAGTCTCACTTAAGTTATTTTTGTTATGATATAATTTTAATATGTACCTTTATAAAATGAAGTATAATTACTTTATAGTCCTTACATAATATAAGTTTACAAATTAAATGGAAACAAGACCACAGAGCAAAATAAAAATTAACATTAGTGTGATGGATGATATTTTGTTGGCACTAGATTGTTGTTGGTCTAATTCTGTATTTAATCTGATTTTGTAATTTTACTTCAACAATACTAATGAGGAGAATGCCTGTTGGATAAGTATCTTGTACAAAAGAATGTAACTTCAAAGAATTGTTTGCTAGGGCAGACAGTCAGACCTCATACCTAATTGAAGCTTTATCAGCAGGTAAGCCTCAAATGCCAATTATGTAATCTTATCCAATTATTGATGGAATTGGCAACAGAAAAAATTTTAATTATGTATTTAGTATTATAATGAACTATTACAAATTATACAGCCAAATAAGCAAGATATATATAATATTTCTGCTTGCAGCATGGTCATGATCTGGTAAATAGAGCTCAGATTCTTTTGAGTTCTGCATGTCTGTCTGTATTGTGTGCCCTCAGATGATTCACTTCTCATTCCTCTCTTCTTTTTTGGGATTAACTCAAACCTTCATGAGGTGTACTTTTATTCATTTGGCTTTCATTTGGTATGAATGCAATTGTAAACCCAAATTTGAAAAGTTTGGGAATTGATGTATCAAAATTAAGGAGATTTCTTTACCATACAAATTCTAAGAATCTTGAATGTGCTAATGCACATCGTGATTCTGTAGGAGCTGGATATAGTATGCCTGGTTTCTGGAGCTTGCTGCGGTTTGTTAATGAACGTTCTAAGGCAAATTAATCATATACTTACAGTTGCTATAAAATGTGTCTTTTTTCTAAATTCCTTGTGTTTTTGAAGCATTTGTTTTTCCTCTTCATGTTTTCTCCCCCTTTGTAAGTGGTCTCTCTCTCTCTCTGTTTTTAAGGTACTTACTGTCAACAACGGGAAGTAGAGGCCATTACTGAAGGTGTTGAGGAAGATGAAGGATTTTGCTGTTGTGAACCTGGCCATATTCCTCATGTACTTTCATTTAATGCTGCATTTAGCCAGCGCTGGCTAGCTTGGGAAGTGATAGTCACCAAGTATATTCTGGAGGGTTATAGCATCACTGACAATAGTGCTGCTTCTATGCTTCAAGTCTTTGATCTTCGGAAAGTACTCACCACTTACTATGTCAAGGTAAGGGTATGTGCCTACTTAGATCCTCTGATGATCAGAGGCTCTTCTTAGAAAAGACATATATATAATTTTTTTTTAACTTATGCTTTGCTTCTAAGTCATGATTTAAATTCTCTGGTATCCAGTATAGTCAGTGAAATATACCTACAGAGGTCTTGCTGTTTCTTTCTTTGGTGGAACTTATTCTATTTGTTCATTAATATTAATAGCTACCATTTGTAGCTTATATGTTTTAGGCACTGTGCTGAGGGATATACACACATGCATGCATACATACATATACGTGTGTCTTACCTAATTCTCTAAAGGAATATTGCATCCCTGTTTCACAAATAAGTTGAAGCTCAGAAGTTAACTTGCCCAAAGTTCTCTAACTAGCAAGTGGAGTCAGGGATTTAAAACCCAGGCTTGTCTTATTCCTGAGCTCCGGCTGTTAAACACTGCTTTGCACTGCTTTCAACAAACTGAATAAAAGTATTGCAAGATTTAGGAGCTCCCCAAGACCATCTTCACTTGTGATGCCAGCTGCAATTTCAAGGTCCCCAAGACCACCCTCAGGTTCAGTAATTTGCTAGAAGGACTCATAGAACTCAGCAAGGCCATTATATTCTTGGTTAGGATTTATTACAGTGTAAGGATACAGGTTAAAATCAGCCCAAGGGAAGAGGCACATAGGGCAGGGTCCAGAAACACCAAGGCATGAGCTTCCAGTTGTCCTCTCCTAGTGGAGTTGTGCAAACAACGCTTATTTCTCGCGGCAACTGTGTGTGACACTACTTACAGAATGTTGCCAACCAAGGAAGCCCGCCTGAGCCTCGGCATGCAGAGTTTTTGTTGGAGCACAGTCGCTTGGGATGTGGTTGACCACCCCACATGGCCAGCCTTAGTCTGCAGCTCCTCTAGAGGTCATGACTCTAAGCCTCCAAGTGAACCAAGACTCTCTTATCAGGCAGGACATTCCAAGGGATTATAGGTTACCTTCCAGGACCCAAGACTCTCGTTGGGCAAGGTTAGTTCTTTACTGCATAGGTATTCTATTTTTGCTAACGATTTTACAGAAATACAGCATCCTTATGATTTAGGGGCTTGTAGGCAAAACCAGTATTTTCAAGAGGAAAGTGTGTGCTAAATTTTAATGACCCATATCTGAATTTTACATATCTTGTGTTATTACCTCTATGTACCACCTTATTTGTGCTGATTGGGGTGAACCTTGAGTCTTTTTACCAACCTCAGGAAGCTAGAGGTTGATTTTACATTTTTTACGCACGTGTGTGGCATTTTCTGTCTCTTAATATGTATATTTCTATTGCTTTTTTATTAGTTACATTTCTGTAACTTGACCTAGGACCACAAGATAGTTAAATAGCTTTCTATGAGAAATTTCTCAAAATAAATGCACCACAATAGAGGTTTTTAACATCTCTTAAAAGATCCTATATTCTGAAGCTCTAAAGTCAATAGATTAGAATTGTTTTGAAGTTGCCTTGCTGAATTTATGGTTGTGATTTTAAAAGTATTAAATTAAATGTTTTTTCATCCAGGAAGGCCTGAGGTATATTATTATAGCATTCTTAAAATGTATTCTTATGGTATTGAGCTACAATAATATATTTTTGAGTCGTACTATCAATGTAAACAGTTGAAATTTATTTACTGAGGAGTTGTTAATTCAAAATGATTTAGCCTGAATTTTATCTTTCCCTTGTTAGGGTATCATTTATTATGTTACAACCTCTTCTAAGCTAGAGGAGTGGCTAGCTAACGAGACAATGCAGGAAGGACTACGTCTGTGTGCAGATCGAAATTATGTTGATGTGGACCCGACATTTAATCCAAACATTGATGAAGACTATGACCATCGACTAGCAGGCATATCCAGGGAGAGTTTCTGTGTGATTTACCTCAACTGGATAGAGTATTGCTCTTCCCGAAGAGCAAAGGTAGAGTTTGTTTATTTCATTTATAACTCTTTGAATTGTTTTTCCAAAGGTGGAAAGAATATCTTTGTTCATATTATGAGGTCAATTTTTCCACATTTGCCTCTTTCTGACCATCTGGGTAAGAGAACCTGTCTTGTTTGTTATGGTTGGGCCAAATCAACCAACTTTGCCAAAACAGGTTAAAGAAAGTGGCCTCCCTCATTCTTTTCATTTGCAGTGTCATAATATCACTGTCTAGATAGCATCCCCTGCACCCTGTGCATGCATACATGTACACAAATTTAGGTTACAGATTACATGTAGCACCTTCTTAAAGACTAAATCCCTCCACACACACACACACACACACCAGACTTAAGGATAATTTAGTATCTTCATCCCAAATGCATTCTAGACCAGTGCTGTCTAATAGAATTTTCTGCAATGATGGAAATATTCTGTGCTGTTCCAGTATGGTAGTTACTAATCCACCACATGTAGCTATTATTAAACACTTGAAATATGGCCAATATGACTAAGGAACTGAATTTTAAATTTAATTGTAATTGATTTAAATTTAATAGCCCATGTAGCCTAGTAGCTACCATATTGAACAGACAATTGACTTTGAAGTGTTAACATGGTAAAAATGACCTAGGAAATGTGTAAAAATGCAGATTCCTGGACCTCACCTAAGAGATTCTAATTCTGTAGGCCTAGACTGGGGACCCAAAATCTGTGTCAGTCTGGATGATTGTGATTCAGGTGGTTTCTAATCCACACTTCAGATAAATTGTCTTATCATAAAGGTAAGGTGAGTTGTAGACTTCACCAACTACTACTATTCTTCTAGCTCTCATGGCTCTCGTGGCAATTTTGCCCCCCTGGTTAGACTCCATGTAACATAACCACAATACCAAGGCCTGTGCTTCTAACAGCTAATTCCTACCACCACTATTGTTTTCCAAGCAAAAGTCTTATGTAGTTGAACCACCGGCATCCTGTACAGGATTACTCTGTAGCGTGGAGGATAGTGAGCCACCTTGACAACTGGTGCCTTGCTCATAGTCTGGAATGTGCACACCTGTCCTTAGCTGTAGCACCTGGTTTAGTCCTTCCTTTACAGCTGCTTAGAGTCAGGCACACCATCATAGCAGCCTCTTTTCTCTTCACTTCATCGATAAGAAAGAGAGCATCCTTGTACTTCCTCTCTGAACAGTGTCCTTTGAACTTCTGTACTGGATGCACAACAGATACTAAGCAGAGTAGCATATTTTTAAAGAAGAATAAAGAATAGAATAAAATAACCTCCTAAGAGGCTCAGAAAAAGGACCAGCAGACAATATCTGGAAATGGAGGACCTCAAAGCTAAACGTCTCTTCCTCCAAACACATAACAAGCAGTTTATTTTTTTATAAATGAAATATATTAGAATGCTTTGCATACTGTTCTCAAATCCTTGGACATATTTTTTGGGGGTGGGAGTGGTTGTATTACTCTCATAGCCTTTCTCTAGCTTAGATTATATTAGTTACTTTTGTTTGGTTTAACCATGGTCGCCTGGACTAGGAATTCACCGTCTACCTACTCAGGAACAAGGCTCCATCCTTCCTAAATTTAAGGACCCTTCTAGAGATTATTGCTGAGATCATAGACATAGCCCAAGGAAGTCCTCCTCCCAATTGCTAATGAATCATATGTTCAAAAGGTTTACCTCCAAATTTGGGTATTCCCAGTCTCTTCAGATAGCTTCTTATCACTAGGTCAGTGTGGCTTACACTCTGCTCTGCTGTCCCTTCTAGAAGAAAATTATCAGCTGTACCATATACTCCCCTTCATGTTCCAGGTTTTCTTTGAAGTTGAACAAGGTTATCTCCACCTCCTTAAAACCATGTGTTCTATTTTCTGAATCACTGTTCCCAGAATAGCCTCTTCCAAGGGAGGTTAATTAGGCCAGAAAGATTTGCTGCCTCCAAGTTCTGGTACCCTCACCTCAGTGTTAAAAAAGTTGCCTTGAGACTCTCCTTCCGTAGTTTCCTTCCAAGATTGTACTCTAACTTACATATTACACAGAAGTAAAAAATCATTCTTTACTCCTCCTCTTATATGTATGCTAGTAGGAAATAATCTCCCCTATACTAGCTGTACCTGTATTCTAAACAGCTAGATAAAATATTTTTATAAGTGTGGCCCTGGACTAACCGCATTAAAATTACCTGAATGCCAAATTGGAAGAGTTTTTCTCAGCTTGGTTTTGCTTCCTGCTTCTTAAATGACAATACATTTCTTTCGCCATTGTTGTTAGTATTAGCAAGAATTCTTTGTATTTCTAATGCAGCTGAGGATGTAAGACACATGCCTTCTCCAGCAGTAACAAAACAGAGCTACCAGGGTAGAACCAATTACTTTTTCTTTCAGTACATTAATGATATTGCTACAGTGCCTTCTGGCTTGCATTGTTTCTGATGAGAAGTGTCTGGACATTCTTATCTTTGCTCCTATGTACAAATAATATGTACAGCATGATGGGTTTTTTTGCACTGGCTGCTTTTAAGATTTTCTCTTCATCAATAATTTTAAGCAATTTAATTATGATGTACCTTGGTGTAGTTTTCTTCATGTTTCTTTTTTTGGAGTTCATTGAGCTTCTTGAATCCCTAGATATATAGTTTATCTGATTCAGAAATTTTTCAGCCATTATTTTTTTTAAGGTTTTTTTGGTTCTCCTCTATTCCCTCTTTTGGGGACTCCAGGTACATTTATATTAGGCTGCCAACATATGTAGGTATTGTCCTACAGCTTGGGGATGTTCTGTTCCTTCTTGTTTTAGTCGTTTTTGTCTCTGTGTTTAATTTTGCATAGTTTTTATTGCTATATTTTTTAGATCATTTACTTTTTTTCTGCCTTTGTTTAATATGCCAATAATCCGGCTGGCCCGGTGGTGCAAGCGGTTAAGTGCGCGCGCTCCGCTGCAGCGGCCCGGGGTTCGCCGGTTCGGATCCTGGGCGCGCACCGACGCCCCGCTTGCCAAGCCAGCCTGTGGCGCCGTCCCGTGTAAAGTGGAGGAAGATGGGCACGGATGTTAGCCCAGGGCCAGTCTTCCTCAGCAGAAAAGAGGAGGATTGGCAGATGTTAGCTCAGGGCTGATCTTCCTCACACATACAAAAAAATGCCATTAATCCCATCTTTTTTATCTCAGACAGTGCATTTTTCATATCTCGTGAGGTTTAATTTGTGTCTTTTATGTAAATCTTCCATGTCTCTACTTAGGATGCTCAGCCTTTCCTCTGTCTTTTTGAATTTATGGAATACAGTTATAGTAACTCTTCTAATGTCCTTGTTGACTAATTCTAACATCTGTGTCAATTCTGGGTCAGTTTTGGTTGAGTGAGTGATTAACTGATTATTCTTCCAATTATGGGTCATATTTTCCTGCTGCTTTGCATGCCTGACAATTTTTGATTGGATGCTAGACTTGATGAATTTTACCTTGATGAGTGTTGAGTATTTTTGTATTCTTGTAAATATTCTTGAACTTTGATCTGTGACACAATTAAATTCTTGGAGGACAGTTCTATCTTTTCGGGGCTTGCTTTTGAGCTTTCTTAGGAGGGACCAGAGCAGCCTTTAGTCTGGGGCTAATTTTTCCCCATTACTGAGACAATACTCTTGTGAGTACCCTAGCTAATCATGAGATTTTCCGTTGTTCCTTTCTGCCCCTTTCTGATGGTTCTTTTCTTGGCCCTGGGTCCTTGGTGCATGTGGTGATCAGGAATCTGCTGAAGACTCAAGAGGGCCCGTCTGCAGATTCCCAGAGCTTGCTTTCTCTGTGTAGCTCTCTCCTTGGCACTTTCCCTACCAGCTCTAGCCACCTTGACCTCCCCAGACTCCCAGCTGTCTCCTCAACTTGGAGACCTCTGGGCTGCACCTGTGTTCCCCTTCCTTGTGCTGCGTGTGAAACTCGCGTAGGGCTACTTCGTTTGTTTCTCATCTCTCAGAAATTAATGTCCAATGTCTCAAAATCATTGCTTCATATGTTCTGTTCAGGTCTTGGTTTGTTTTTGATTGTTTCAGGTGCAAGGGTAAATCTGGTCTTTATTACTCTCTCGGCCAGATGCAGAAGCTTGAACTCAATAAAAACAATTTTTTTTTCTTATCACAAAAGCAGTACATTTTTAGCATAGAAAGTTGACTAGGTAATGGAGAGAGGGAGACTGAAAAGAAAGAAAGAAAATCATAATTTTACCACCCATTATAACCACCTTTAGTGGTTTGTTTATATAACTTCAAGTCTCTACACACCCCATCTCTTTTATTTTTCTTTTCTATTTCTTAAAACAAGTGTTCTCAAATTCTTTATCTACTGTTTTGTAACTTGGATCCAAAATTCCTTCAAAGAACCTGCTTGATGAAACTAGGATATGTGCTGTAAGAGGTAATATATCTTTGAAACAACTCCATTTGGCAAGCAACTAGAATATCTCTTACACAGGTACTATTAATTAACTAAATTACCCAATTAATGGTAATTAAATTAACCAATCAACATTAAGTTAGTATCTTAGACAACTTCTCTTTTTTATTTATAAATTAATGGTTTATAAAGCCAAAAATATATACCTTGGTAACATTGGAATCATTAAGCTCCTTATTAGCCTATATCCATGATTCTTCAACTTTAGCATACATTAGAATCACTGGAGTGTGATTGCTGGACCCTGCCTCCAGAATTTGATTTCTTAGGGCTGAAGTGGCCCAAGAATTTGCATTTCTTATAAGTTCCCAGGTGATGCTGATGTTGTGTCCTAGGACTACACTTTGAGAACCATTGCCCTAGATTGTTCTCAGTAATTGAGCTGCTACCAAGATTTTCCTTAGTATTGTATAAAGTATACCATTTTGTTATACATATATAAGTATTGTATTATATATTATTATATATATAATAGTAATTAAGGTATGCAATTGTTAAAAAAATTAAAAGGTTGAGGGGAAGCAATATTCTACAGATATCAATTTGATTTTCTTTACTATGATTATGGTCACTAATAGGCTAATGAAGCTATCACTCATAGCCTGCCTGCCCGGTTAAGTCCAGAAGTAACTAATTAACAGATAGAATATTGTGTTTTTAGGAGAAGACAATATCAGTAATGATGTATGTTAGTAAGTGCTTTGAGATGTTTAGCTAAGATCCTGACATTCTGTAACACAGCCAGTTCTTTTTGAGTGTGTTCCGGTATTGTGAAGTATTGGATTTTACTTAGAGATTCCAAAGAACCTCCTCATATACATTTATACTTTGCTTGTTAAGTTTCTTTTCATTAGAACTTTTATTTGAAGAGATAGGAATTATGTACTAGTTGAGTTCCTTATCTTCTGATTTATTAAATGATATCTTCTGATTCGTTAAATACTTATATACCTTTCTGATAACTAACATTCTTTGTTTTTTTGTTGTTTGTTTTTCTTTTTTCTTTTTTTATTGAGGTATAATTGGCATATAACATTACTAGTTTCAGGTGTACAACATAATGATTCGATATTTGTGTATGTTGTGAAATGATCACCAAAATAAGGCTAGGTAACAGCTATCAGCATACATAGTTAAAAAAATTGTTTTTCCTTGAGATGAGAACTTTTAAGATCTACTCTTTAGCAACTTTCAAATATGCGATACAATATTACTAACTATAGTCACCATGCTGTACATTACATCCCCATGACTGACTTAGTTTATAACTGGAAATTTGTACCTTTTGACCCCCTATTCTTTGTTTTTTTTAAAGCCAGTGGATGTAGACAAAGATTCATCCCTGGTGACTCTTTGTTATGGACTCTGTGTTCTGGGACGGAGAGCTTTGGGGACAGCATCCCACCATATGTCCAGGTAACGAAGGCGTTTCTGTTTTCAGGAAGACTGTGGGAAGCTGTGTAACCTAAATCTGAAAAATTTGAAATAATTTTCCATGGAAGCATTCTATGCTAATTTATTGTGAAAAGTCTCTTCAGATATTGTATTGTGTAGATCTTTTTGCTGAACACAGTTGAGTTCTGCTAAGTGGTTAACAGAACTGGCTTTTAAAATTCACATGTGTACGGGCAACTGTTGATAATGAGAGTTTAATGGATTTAAGACATTTTAAAAACTAATCACCCCATAACATTTGATTGGTCTCCTCCCGTATACATCTGTTTTTCTAACAATTCACCTCTTTTTGTTTTTCCATATTTCCTCTCAATTTTTGTCCAGAGCATTTATACTTTTAATATAGTTGTACGTTAGATTTTGGGACTCTAAATATAAACTGGATTTCTTGACATACGCATCCAAATGAATTAGAATTAAGAAATACCACATATTTTAAGTTTCTTCTGTGATTACGATGTTTTCCATCAGGCCTCCTTAATTTATTTTAACTTATAGATTATTTGCCTGTTGTTTATTTTCATGGCCTCCTATTAAAGTGGTTCATAAACAGGGGTCCCAGGTCAAACAGGCTCTGTCCCTTGTGATTCTGATTCAGGGGTGCTGACATTAGTTCTTGGAATCCATATTTTCAGAATACTCTCAGATGATTCTGATGCACAACCACATGTAAGAATCAGTGTAATGGAAGACCTTTGTCGAAATATGTAAACTTTTATCTCCAATCTTAACAGTAATTTGGAGTCATTCCTCTATGGATTGCATGCCCTATTTAAGGGAGACTTCCGTATTTCTTCAATTCGAGATGAATGGATCTTTGCTGACATGGAATTGCTAAGAAAAGTGGTCGTCCCTGGAATCCGCATGTCCATCAAACTTCATCAGGTAAGAAGAGGAAATTTCTAATGCATTACTGGTGTTTAATGGTACTTCTTCACTTGACTTCCAAATTATGTTTCTTAGGAACCTTTTGAGAAATATTATGATTGGAAACAAAGAAAAACATGATTCATGGCAAGATTAAATCTTAGAAGCCTGAACCTGTTTTTCTAACAGCAAATTTGAATATTAATATTAGAGAGTGACTGATCTGGGCATGAACTTGAGGAATAATGTAAGCAGTGACAAGCCAGAAATAAAGTCTTTGGCCTCTGTAGTACTTGCTGTGACTTCACGTGATTGTAACTCCTGCCTCTTCCGTGGGTGAGTGTTAGCTGACTCCCAGTGCACTGTAGCAGCATCTCAGGCATCTTGTAAGTGAACTATGAGTTTCATTTAGCATGTTATGCAGAATAATAGATGGTTAGGACAGATTTAGCATTAGTTAAATAGTCCTGGTAGGGTAATAAAATTAAAATGAGGCCCAAAAATGCATATCCAAAGCCCTGGATCCTGTCAAGAGTGTATGTTGAAGTTAAGTACTGGCACTGGCTGCTCTGATCATTCCGCTTGACAGTGGTTATCAGATCTGATGATAGAGACCACATGATAAGACTCATTAAAATGCATCTGCTGTGCTCAAATCTGATTGAATCCTTTTTCCCCCAAATAAAGGATGAATTATTCTTCAAGTGATTTTACTATGATTAAAGTAATGCAATGAAGTTAATGTCTCATATTATTTAAGAGTATTACTAGTAAGGGATGTATTATTTGAAAATCGGTGAAAAATGTAATACTGTTTGGAGGACAGTGGGGAAAATATACATTTGGGATCAAGTGGAACTGTCTATCTTCAGACTGGCTTCATAGTTTTGAGACAAAATTCAGTGAATTGAAAAAAGATAATGACTTCAGATTATAATGTTTTTAAAACCTCAGAACTTCTCAAAAGGTACCAATTATGTATCTGCTATATAGGAAGTAGCCAGCCCTGGTGGTCTCATGCTTAAGAGTTGGCACTGTCACCACCCCAGCCCAGGTTCGTTTCCTGGTCAGGGAACCACCACACCCCCACACCCCCACACTCCACCCTCCACCCCCGTCTGTCGGTTGTCACACTGTGGTGGCTGCAGGTTGCTATGATGCTAAAAGCTGTGCCACCATGTTTCAAATAGCAGCAGGGTCACCCATGGTGGACAGGTTTCAGTGGAGCGCTTCCACACTAAGAGACTAGGAAGAAGGATCTGACCACCCACTTCTGAAAACATTGGCCATAAACCCCTATGAATAGCAGCGGAGCCGTGTCTGATACAGTGCCAGAAGGTGAGAGCATGGTGCAAAAAGACCAGGCGGGGGGCCGGCCCGGTGGCATAGTGGTTAAGTTCACGCACTCTGCTTCAGTCACCCGGGGTTCGCAGGTTTGGATCCTGGGTGTGGACCAACACACTGCTTATCAAGCCATGCTGTGGCAGGCGTCCCACATATCAAGTAGAGGAAGATGGGCACAGATGTTAGTTCATGGCTAGTCTTCCTCAGCAAAAAGAGGAGGATTGGCAACAGATGTTAGCTCAGGGCTAATCTTACACACACACACACACACACACACACACACCACACACACACACACACACACACACACACACACACAATTTAGAACAGGCCAAACTAATCTCTAGCAACAGAAAGCAGATCAGTGGTTGCTTGGGATGTAGAGACTGAATGCCAAACGGCAGGAAGGGACTTTTTGGGGTGATGGAAATGTTCTCTGTAGATTGTAGCAGTGGTTACACAGGTGCATATTCGTCAGAGTGCGTCTAACTGTATTGTCAGAATAGGTGCCATTTATTGTACGTAAATTATACCTCAAATTTGATTTAAAAAAAAAGATTATGTTCCCAGAGCTAAAAATATAAAATTTCTAACTTTGCCTTTCAAACAGTCTTTGATAGTGTGCTTTTAGCACTTCATAGGTGTTTTTAACTTTTACTTTTTCCCTTATAGTTCTTTTTTATTTTTTTAAAAATTCTCCAGTCTAATGTATTACGTTTTTACTTGAGAAATTAAAACTGTTATAGTCTGTGTAATATAATTGGATAGTGCCCTATAATGTATTAGTGCTCTCATACACATTATATCACCACAACCCGAAAAATTATTTTAATCCTTATTTTGTAGATGAAGGTTAACCAGAACTCAGAGAAATTAAGCAAATTGCCCTTTTCGTGTGTTCTGTCTTACCCTCTATTTAATATTTTGTAAAATAACTTGCCTCCTTATTCGTTCTTCCTTTCTTATTAGTCTCTTTAAGGATTACATAGTTGTTAGAACTAAAATAAACTAGTCAAAGTCCAATTTTGTTTGTAAGTGATATGTGATGAAAATCTTTCAATCTGTGATATCCTTGAGGACAGGGATAATTTCTTATTAATCTTTATGTCCTCATTGCTTAGCACAGTGCCTGGCGGCCAATGAATGTTTGTTAAATGAATGAGTTTCATTGTTTTCAAAAAGTAGTATTTTCCCGTGCATCTGCTCATAAGTTCTCAAGTGTATTTCTAAAATGCTTCTGAAACTTTTTCTAGAAGAACTGGGAACATTATCTCTTTTTATTTATTTCAAAAATAATGAAAAATGTTAAAAAAGTAAACATCACCCAAGAGTAAGCATCTTCCCATCACCCAGCCCATTGTACAACACCCCAAAGAAACAATCAGTGCCAATGATTTGATGCATCTCTTTTCTGATTTCACCAAGTTTATGTAGACATTTGCATCTATATTTATAAATATTTTCCTTTTTAAAAATGTAATTGTGCTATATAAATTGATCTGTAACATGGTTTTTTTTCCATTTGGTATAACATGGACACCTTTCCGAGTCAGCACGTATAGAGGCCCCTTCCATTTTTTAGTGCTCTGTAGTATTCCAGAGTATAATTTTTACTCAGTTTATTCAACCATTTTCCTATTTATGGACATTCTGCTTGTTTACAATATTTTGCCACTTAAGCAATGTTGAATGATGTTTATAGAACTTTACATACTCATTCGTCCATTTTAAGCCCAGTGAAAAGACATATTTGGATAAGATTAAACATTCTCCACTTTTGACATGCCTGATTGTTTCCAACTTTGTGTCCATTTTATTAAGAATTTGATCATTGCCTATGTCTGCACTTCTTTTTTCTGTTCAAGTAGTTGTACCAACACAACTCTACAACAATGTCATTCCTTCCCTAATGGAACTATGCTAAAAGAGAGCAAATCTTATGACATCCAGCTGTCTGCTGGCATAGTAAAGTGAACTCAGTATTTAAAAGAAACATTAGGAGGGTTGGTGTACAGACATCAAGCACCGCCTATCAGTATTTTAAGTTGTAAAGGCTCTCTTATCTTGGGCCACGTTCTCTAGAAGCCGAGTCACAGTCCAGGATTCTTGTGCGAGAGGTTAATTGAGAGGGTGCCCTCAGGAAAATTTTTAAGGAAATGGTGGAAGCGGGAAAGAAGAAGGGAAGGAGCTAAGCGAAAATGTGTTTCAGCTGTATTCTAGCTTCCGCTGAAGTCTAGAGGGCATTCTGGAATGTGAACATCACCAAGAGTTATGTTGTGTACCTCGCACCCCCACAACCATGGGGAGAACAAACCTCCCCTGGCATTTCCTACCCAAGCAGCTCCGTCAGCTGAAGGTGGTTTGTAGAAGAGAGAACAGCTGTGAGCCGTTAAGAGCCAACACTCAAAACCATGGAGAGAGGAGTGCACCAGCCTAGTAGAAGAAATCTGGACAAGGCACCAGTGACGTGCTTCACAATCTAGCTGAAACCTAGTTTTCTAATTTTCTCACCGTTTTGCAGCTAGACCCTAGGTTCCATGACAGCAGTGCTTGTATCTGTCTTGCTTACTACTATTTTCCCCAGTAGCTAGCACGGTTCTTGGCAGCACAATAGGTCCCCAGTTCCCACAGAGACTTTATGCTGTAATTAACTTGATCTCTTCACTGACCTCTGCGTTTCTCTGCAGGTTGTCTTGCCTGGAGCCCTTTCCCACGGTGCCCATCTCCATCCACTGAAATTGTATTCATTCTTTAAGATCCAGCTCAAAACTACCTGTGTTGTGTAGCTTTCCCTAATCACATCAACTAGACCTGACAGGTTTTTCAGTTAACTTTTATAATCATATAATTTTTTAAATCAGAATGAAAAAATACTCCTAAACCTAGGAAGGAGCTAAGCCTCTTTGAGCTTCAGTTTTGATATTTCTAAAATGCTGGTATTATCTGCTCAAGCTACTTGAAGGCTGTCGTAAGAGTTAGATGAAATAGCGTGTTGGAGAACTTTTTACATTATGAAGCATTATGTACAGTGAATACTTTTATTATTCTCATGTAGGCCAACCCCCAGACTTGGAGTTGCTTTCCTGGGGATACTGCCTTCTTGCTCTCACTCGTCTCCCCTTCAGATAGCTCACACTGTGGTCAATTGGCTTGAGTACAAATGAGTTACTTTACCTGGATGTAAAAATTTATCAACCTCTATACCATAAATATGAAGGTAGCCAATACAATATTTGTGTCTCCTTAATAACATGCCATTTTAGAAGTTCAGGTTTGTGTTATTGTTATTTGGGTATATATCCTGTATCCCCTGTTTATTTGTAGGTTTCTGAATGGGAGATACATTTCATACACTCTTCTGTTTCATTCGTGCTACCTGCCACAGAATCTTGCACATGGTAGATATTAGGTAACTGTTTATCAAATGAATAAGTAGTTATCAAGACCAAGATGTTTTTCAGGGAAGACTTCACTAGCTTCTCCAGGACTAGGACCCTTAATCTGTCCTCAGAGCTTGTAGCTTTGAGCCATATCTTAAGTAGATGAGAGGCAGGATAAATGTTATATTAGAATCATTCTAGAGATGTGGGTTTATGTGAAAAGTGCCTAGCTTAAAGGAAACACAATTTAGAGATATTTATGTAGTTTTTGCCTTCCTTAACTGATAACAGTGAGGTAATCTTTTAACAGAAAAAGATGAATAGGAATGAAGATGTGAAAAACCAACTTAAATGAGGAAAACAAAATATATAAAAATTGGAAATAATATTTGTTTAGCTAAAACTAAAAATATTTGTTTAGAGGATAGGGTTGGATCAAGGAATCTACAAAAGTACTATAGCAGTAGTGAGCTAATTCCTAACCTAGATAAGTTTAAGAATCTATAATTTATCTCTAATAATGTTAACATGCTGGCACATGTATAAACTGGTTTTCAAGAATTTTTATTTAGTAACTGATTTAGTAATTATAGAAGTTTTTTGTCATCCTGGAAGTCATTCTCTTCTTTTCCTAAAAAAGGTGTATTTTTTGTTTCTGTGTCTAGGATCATTTCACTTCTCCAGATGAGTACGATGACCCTACCGTGCTCTACGAGGCCATTGTATCTCACGAAAAAAACCTTGTAATAGCCCATGAAGGGGACCCTGCGTGGCGGAGTGCTGTCCTCGCCAACTCTCCTTCCTTGCTTGCCTTGCGGCATGTCATGGATGATGGCACCAATGAATATAAAATCATCATGCTGAACAGACGCTACCTTAGCTTCAGGGTCATTAAAGTACGTTTTGGAGGCATTTTTTTTGTGTCTGAAAAAAATGGAACTTAGATAACTTATCCAAACTTTTAAAAAGTAATTAAAACTCTTTTATAGAAAAAAATAATGACCATACTACATTGGCATTTATTGTTTATGAGCACTTAATTTGATTTATTTTGTCAGTAATTTATTCTGTTCTCTGAAATTTTCTCATGTACCATTAAGCCCTAAAATTTTTGCTTTATTTCTATTTTGGCACTCTTTTATCCATTATATGGTGGTCTTTTATCTATTACAATCTGGACAGCATCTCTTCAAAGGTCAGCACTATCATGCTAATATGCTGTGACTCCTAGGTTGCAAAATAACAACATAGCTTGTACTTCATAGTGATCAGTAGCTAACTGTAAATCGCTCACTCTAACTTTTCCTTGTTTTTCTAAACATCTCACGGCTTTAAGAGCCTTAATTTCTGAAATTTATTTTGATAGTTTGTAATGGTTTATTTCTTTCTCTACTTCCTTTAGTCAACCCCCAAAGTTACAAACATCATTTCAACTCTAAATATTTGTTACTTCTGATTTCTATCAAAAATATGTGTTATCTCAATTTCAAAATTCAGTACTTCACTAATTTGGAGAACTAAATGGACTACATTTTCTTGATATTTTTATATGACAGAGCAGAGGGAAGAGCTCTGTAGGTACTTATTATTTAACAACCTGCTAATGACAATGGAAAGTTGGTTAACTCGTGTTCACATGTGACCTACTTATATTTGTTTTCTGCTTTTCACAGTTGGTTGTCATAAAGTCTTTTGTATCCCTCCCATTTCCGCTCTTCTGTTTATGTGAATTTCATTCTTGGCCCCTTCACCTAATTCCTGTGTGTTCTGGTTTTCAGGTGAATAAGGAATGTGTCCGAGGTCTTTGGGCAGGACAACAGCAGGAGCTAGTTTTTCTACGTAACCGTAACCCAGAGAGAGGTAGCATCCAAAATGCGAAGCAAGCTCTGAGAAACATGATAAACTCATCTTGTGATCAGCCTATTGGCTACCCGATCTTTGTCTCACCCCTGACAACTTCTTACTCTGACAGCCATGAACAGCTTAAAGAAATTCTTGGGGGACCTATCAGCTTGGGAAATATCAGAAGCTTTATAGTGTCAACCTGGCACAGGTGAGCCATGGGGTTGCATTTTTCAGTGGTGGTGTATCCTGTCCTTCATCTAGGCAGAGTGCATTAGCACCACCGGGAAAGCCGGTAGAAAAAATACAGATGCCATGGCATGACATCAGCTTGTTATATCTGAACTTCAGGAGGTGGAGTCTGAGCATTTATATCTTCAAACTCTTATTAGATAAATCTAATGTACAACTCTGATTCAGAACCACTGCTCTAGCATTCAGTGAATAGTATCTTGGATAGTATCCTTTCTTTGTTTAATTTTTATGACTCTCTATTGCAGCATATTGCCACTATAAGAGTGTGTGAGTCAGTAAACAGGGCAAATTAGAGAAAAACTAAGTAACTTGTGCAAGTTGGTTACTTTCTTCTATTTTACTCCGTTCCAGCAGTAGGGGGAGCACTCGACCCATGTTGGAACTCCTGGTTGAAGGATACAGATACACTCTACTGCCCTTTTAACAGTCCAGTCATCACTCACATGGCAAATCTGTAGTGTCTTCAAGAATGCACATGAATTTTTTCTCTGCCTTTTGTCTAGTAAATTATGATGTATTGTATAGGAACATCATAATTTGGTGAATGGTGAAGAAAAATCGCAGGATATTATTTTCAGTTTCTTAAGAGTTATTCAGAGCCTTAAATATCGGAGCTTAAGAAAAACGGGATCTGGGATTAGAGCAACAAACTCTCCAATGGGTGTTTTTAAATTCTTCTAAGAATAGCCAACGTTAAAGAGTAAAGTTGCACCATTTTAACGTCGATCCCTGTTCAAGCAGAAGGAAGAACACAAACCAGGGTCGTGTTCAAAGCAAGTTTTTTTCAAAAAAGATGTGTTGTGCTAGAAGTGCCTTATTTGTCCGGGACTAAGGGGTTTCCTGGGATGCAGGATTCTCAGTGCCAAACAGAGACACTTGTGGGCAAACCAGGACAGTTGGTGACCCTACACTTTAAAAAAAAAAAAAAGAAAGAAAGAAATTACTCCAGCAGCTCGTTTCAGGTGTGCTGCAGCATAAATTAGGTTAATTTAAATAAATTAGATTTTCAGGGGTTGCATACTTCAGAGGCACTGAATAGACACTGGCAAGAATTCTGTTTCTAACTGTGATCTTAATGGTATGACTGTGTTATGTGCAGTTCTTTATTATGGTATAGGAAAGGTGATAGAGTGTATAAAAGTGAAATCGATGGGGAAGATTTGAGGCAGTGAATATAAGAGGGAGATATGAAAACATAATAACAGATTTTTTTTGTTACTAATATTGATTGCACCACAAAGACTTGCAAAGGTGAGCTTTAGTACATTAAATGTTCAGAATAGCTAGAAAAAGAGTAAAATACTTACCTTGAAGTGATCTTGGGATAATGCTTCCTACTCTGGTATTTGTTCCTAGGTTAAGGAAAGGTTGTGGAGCTGGATGTAACAGTGGTGGCAACATTGAAGATTCTGATACTGGAGGTGGAACTTCCTACTCTACTAACAATGCAACAACTGCCCATGATCCCCACAGCAGTGTGTCCCAAGGAAGCACTGGAAATCCAGGCCAGGGGTCGGGAGCAGGACTCCATCCGCCTATCACCTCTTATCCTCCAACACTCGGTAATATGAAACAAAGTTATGTGTATGATGTTAGCCTCTTAGCTGTGGGGTTCAGTTAGTACGTGTGGATAAAGAGGATGACATATTACCTACTTGGAAATGTATAAATAGAATATTTTGTTTGATTCCCAGTTGGACATTATCCTACTTGTTTATATTAATCATTTTATATATATAAATATGTATATGTATAATTTAAAATATCATTTCTTTGAAAGTATCATTTTTAAAGGCTAATAATATTTAATTAATATAATTTATCTAACTTCCCTCTTGTTGGACAAGGATTGTAATAATCTTTGTGCACACTATTTTGTTAAGCTGGACACTTTAAAAATGGAATCACTAAGTCAAAGTTTATGAGAATATTTAAGACTCATGACACATAATGCCAGAAGTCTTTCTAGAAGGTTTTTGTACCAATTGGTACTCTCAGCAGTCATGTACAGGAATGCCCATCCTGTAAACTTTCACTAGCTTTGCGTATTATCAGTTCCATCTCTGCTCCCTGCTTGCTCAGAGGGGCAGGAGAAGGGGGTGGTCTTTAATTTTATTATTTTAATTTGCATTGCTCTGATGCCTGAGATTGAAAGCTTTTAAATGAGTTTATCAGCTATTCTTTTTTCTGAACTACCTATTAAGTCTCTTGCCCATTTTTCTATTTGGTTATCTTTTTCTCATTTATATTTGTATATTCTGGATTTTGAGCTCTTTGTCAGTTTTCTGTACTACAAATATCTTTTCTCGTTCTGTCTCTTGGCTTTCCATTTTCCTGTGAAGAGTGTCGTGCCTTCTTTTGATGAGAAGTTTTTAATTTTAGTGTGAAGCAATTTACTGATGTTTTGTGATTAGTACTTTTTGTATCCTATTTAAGAAAAATTTCCCTGTCCCAAAAGAAGGTAGTGGTTTACTGGGGTACTAGTTTACCTTTTACATGAGACCTACAGTCCGCCTGGTCTGCAGCAGGAACCAGATTTCCTGTGTCCATGTGGCTGGTCGGTTGATCCAGCACGGTCCTTTCCCCCGCTGCTTCACATGGATCCGGTGAAGTCTTGAGACATTTACTTGAGTTAAAAAAAAAAAAAGAAATTTCAATGGCACTGGAATTGCTAAGACTCTAAATAGGTATATGATCAACAGTTTGCATGTCATTTTTTAACTTCTGAGTGAAAACCTATAATTTTCAATATGCTTCTTTAAATGTACCTTTTGCTCTTACATTGATGAGCTCTTTTTATTTTCAGACAAAAAGTGCGTGTAGCTATTTTTTCAATATATAGTAATCCCCTTTCAATATATAGTATTCCCCCCTTATCCTCGGTTTTGGTTACCCATGATCAACCAAGGTCCAAAAATATTAAATGGAAAATTCCAGAAATAATTCATAAGTTTTAAATTGCATGCCATTCTGAGTAGTGTGGTGAAATTTCATGCCTTCCTGCTCTGTCCCGCCCGGGACATGAATCATCCCTTTACACTACCTGCCCATTGGTCATTTAGTAGCCAACTTGGTTATCAGATCAACTATCACGATATCACGGTGCTTGTGTTCCAGTAACCCTTATTTTACCTAATAATGGCCCCAAAGTGCAAGAGAAGTGATGCTGGCAATTCACATATGCCAAGGAGAAGCTGTAAAGTGCTTTCTTTCAGTGAAAAGGTGCAAGTTCTCGACTTAATAAGGAAAGAAAAAATATCGTATGCTAAGGTTGCTAAGATCTACGGTAACTTTTATTATAGTATCTTGTTATAATTGTTCTATTTTATTATTAGTTACTGTTATTTATCTCTTACTGTGCCTAATTTATAAATTAACTTTATCATAGGTATGTATGTATAGGAAAAAAAGGTAGAATAAATAGGGTTCGTCACTATCCATGGTTTCAGGCATCCGGGGATCTTGGAACGTATCCCTTGCAGATAAGGGGGGACAACTGTGGTTAATAATTATTTTCTAATAATCTTCACATCACTTATGAGTCAGGAAAAGGACAAATCTGAATAATCGTATCAAGCTGTTAGAAAAAGAATACAGAAGAACCTGCTATTCAGTATCGCTGATACGTTATTTAGCAGTAATCCCTTCAAGTATATGAAAATTATAATGTGGTGTCACTCTCTTTCTACAGGCAGTGTAGCTTGTCACTACACTAGATTGAAAGGGCATTAATACTGTACTTTGAGAAATAGTAGTTACATATAGTAAATCCTTAATAAATATTTCTCTCATTCCCATGAGATATTTCATTCCTGATGTATTAAAGAAGTATTCTTGTTATTCTGAAATATTTCTGTGAAAAATATTTTAGGATTTGTCCCAACCTTAAGTCCTGATATTTTCTGTAAATTTAGTTGTATCTTTCTTATGCCCCATAATTTGAATTTTAAAAAGCTTCAGCAAATAAAAATTATATTATAAAAACCACACAAGAAAACAGGTCTCAGATATTTATTTCTTTTTGACAACTTAAAAGTTTTAAGTTTAAATGTGAAATTCAATAAATTTCCCAAGTAACTGCTTAGGGAAGAAAGTCTTTGAAACTACAAAATAATAGTTGTGTCTGAGTCATTCCTCTTGGAGTGAGTGCTGTTGTTGTTTCTCCATCCCTAGGCACCAGCCACAGCTCTCACTCTGTGCAGTCGACCCTGGTCAGACAGTCCCCTGCTCGGGCCTCGGTGGCCAGCCAGTCTTCTTACTGCTATAGCAGCCGGCACTCTTCTCTTCGGATGTCCACCACGGGGCTTGTGCCTTGTCGGCGCTCTTCCACCAGTCAGATATCACTTCGAAACTTGCCATCATCCATCCAGTCCCGCCTCTCTATGGTGAACCAAATGGAACCCTCCGGTCAGGGCGGCCTGGCCTGTGTGCAGCATGGCCTCCCTTCTTCCAGCAGCTCCAGCCAAAGCATCCCAGCCTGCAAGCATCACACTCTCGTGGGCTTTCTTGGGACAGATGGAGGTCAGAGCAGTGCCACTGATGCACAGCCAGGCAACACCTTGAGTCCCGCCAATAATTCACACGCCAAAAAGGGGGAGGTGATTTACAGAGTCCAAGTGAGTAAACCCGGGGTTCTTCTTGCGCTGTTTCTCTTACTCATTTGTTTTTATTTCGCCTTGGTTGAGTAAAGGAGTTTTGTGAAAACACATCTGATACTATTTAGTCTGAAGACTTAGAACACTTTTGAATGTTTAAAAAAAATGTTTCTGTCAGTATAAAAACTGAAAGCAAGCAGTTTTCCAGTGGTGATGTTTGTTCCCTGTCCAGCTGTTGCCATTTGGCCAGTGCAGTAAGGTCTACCAGTAGGCTAAAAGGAAATGGCAGATGGCTCTTTAGATTGTTTTTTATTCCATTATAGGCAATGGAGAACTTGAGGCATAGAGTACTGTCAAAGAAATCTTGTTTGAGATTATATAATTTTTCATTATCAGGAAAAAAATGTTTTGGAAATGATCCATATTTATTTACAATATAGATTGTGGATCCCAGTCAAATTCTGGATGGGATCAACCTGTCAAAAAGGAAAGAGCTGCAGTGGCCTGATGAGGGTGTTCGGTTAAAAGCTGGGAGAAACAGCTGGAAAGACTGGAGTCCTCAGGAGGGCATGGAAGGCCATGTAAGTTCTCTGATGAAGCTAATGGTCTGGTGCTCTGACCTTTTTGTAGCCTGACTGACTTGTATGCATGTTTTTAGCTGATTTATATACTTACGTTTAATTATCAAGCAGAATTGCTACCTCTAATCCTAAGTGAAGGAATAGAGTTTGTGAGTCCATTCAGGGTCTCTGCCACTAACTTCTTGTTGTATTCTGAATCATTAGGTGATTCACCGATGGGTGCCTTGCAGCAGAGATCCAGGTACTAGATCCCACATCGACAAGACAGTGCTTCTGGTCCAGATTGATGATAAATATGTGACTGTAATTGAAACCGGTGTACTAGAACTTGGGGCTGAAGTGTGAGCCAGTGTTTTATAACTACGTTTCTTTTCCCTCTCAATTCCAAGACACTGGAAAAAGAGAGGAGACAGCAGAAGATGCCTGCAGGTATCGCTTGGATCCTATGTAGGAGAGACTCGAACACAGAGTGGGCTTCGCTAAGCACCTCTCCTTCGCCCTTCACCCCAACTCCTGTCGCTGTCTCCATCCCCAAATAAAGCTGAAATATTTTTTTAAGTTAGCTGCCAAGAAAACATTTTGCATGAAGGATAAAGTTCTGTTAAAATACATCCTCATCCTTAAAAAAAGTTTTTACCTATGCATTGCCTATGCTTTAAATCAACAAACTCTTGATTTCTAAACTATGATCTCATATTTTTCTAATTTCTTTGCCAAAAATAATTGCCATGTTTTGTCATAGAACATGAAATCCATTTACCTTGATTTTTAAAAGCAGACCAGTGTAGAAACCTTCAGTTTGACATATAGCAGTATAAAAGTTTAATGTACAGTGAAAGAGACTATGAACAGACATAGATTTATCTTATGCCTTGAGCGCTAAAAACTTTAATGGAAAAACTGCACTAATTTTTTACAACAATGCACTAAAGTCTGAGATTTCTCAGAACGTTTATTTATATATGAAAATAAAATACCATTATTTAAATTGCCTTTGGGATGAACCCCTTCCCTTTCCTTATAAACATACGTAGCAGGAGCTCTGCTGCCTATTTTTCTGTTAGTAGTCTGTACTTCATGCCAGTACATTGGATGTTTTCTTTAAAATGAATATCGAATCTCAAGCTATACATGGCTTCATCATTGGCGTTTCCCGGAGCCAATAGTCAGTGACTCGGTCCTGTGAACACTACTGCCAGCTCCCGTGTCCACATTTCAGACGCGCTCCCGCTGGGCGTGCCCCAGGCACTCTGCTTCTCTCCACCGGGGCGAGCGCTGCTGGGGTCAGTTCTGGGAAGAAAATACTTTTGCTTTTCAAAGACGATGATGAATGTCCAGAAATTTAAAGAAAGGATTGATTGCCTTTTATTTTAAGAGTTCTTAGCTCTTGAAGTTATTCACATGCAGTTCAGTTAATCAAGTAAAATTTTTCAAACAAAATTATCCCAATGGTGCAGTTCTTATTGTTAAATCCTCTTTGATAACTTTGCCTTTTATTTTCCTCCTCTCTTCTTTTTCTATTACTTGAATTTTATTTTCTGTAATTTATAGTGTGTAGCTGTAATTTGAAATATTTATAACTGTGAAATTGACTTAATTCATATGTTGTCTCATAACTTAAATTTTATTGGTTTTTTTTTTTAAATGCGTGTATTCAGGGAATTATATAATTCAGATTTACAGTTGGGCTAGGTGGGAACTCCAATTTAGGTTTAATTTTAAATTTTTGGCATTTTTTAAATTCTTCAGAAAACTTTCCCTTTTTGTGTGAAACTCCAAAGAAGACTGTACGTCTCCTCTGAGCATTTAGGAGCAGCCATCTTTCCACCCCCTGTGAATGGGAAGTAGAAAGAAGCAGGTGAAAGTAATTTCAGTCGTACATTTTATTTAATCCAATATATCCAAAGTGTTACTAATTCAGCATGTGGCACTGGGCATATGTCAAGTGCATATTAGCCACGTGTGCCTAGTGGCTACTATATTGGACAGCACGGGTGTAAAGTATCTTTTGACGAAGTGACGGGAGAAAGAAGCTGTTTTTCCTACTAATTCTGATGTAGATCTACAGATTAGCCTAACGCTTCAGTAGAAGGAATGAAAACTAAGGAAGTAAATGGCTAATATACAGCATATTATTGCATTTCCACTCCAAAACCTATTTATTTTTCCTTTTTCAAATTTTTGCGGTTATTCAGGACCCAATGTGCCTCGTGTTGATGTTTCCAGACTTCACACTTTGCAAAATTTACTGTTTAAAAACCTTTGTGAAGTGGTTTTCTGAACCTTTACACCAAGATACCCTTTCTAAATCGACCAATTAAAATGTGTTTTCCTGATACTGGGGTTATATTTTGTATTTGCCTCCTTTTGGCAAATCTCTAGTATGCCGTGAAGGTTCAGGCTCCTTTTTTTTCCTTCTGAAACTGAATATATGATCTCTGTATCTCTATCTCTATATGTTTATTTAAAATCTTCTCAAAGGAATTATGCTCCGTGCTGCTTGTTCCCTTTCTGAAATGAGCGTGATCTTTTCATGTTCATTGCCTAGAGGAGAAGATAAGAGGAGCCTTTTCACTCAAATGGCAGATAAATCTTCATTTTCCTACACAGAAAAAAAAAATCTGAACTTCAGATGATTTAATCATAAGGGCTAGAATTATTTTTATTCCTAGCTTCCCACCCCCACCCCCAATTGTTAAACACATCACACACTCTAAAAAGTCAGATTTCAAATAAAAAAGTAGATTTTATACAGAACATATATATTGGGTCTTGATTTGGGATAGCAACTAATGGACATTTTTCTCAAAACAAGTTGAATTTTGTTATCAGATAGCCCTGTAACTAGTGAATATATCAGTTAGGAACCCTAAGAGGAGCCATGTCCTTATTTTTTAAGTCTACAACTGATAGTCTTTTAAAAATCATGATACTTTTCCAATAATTGCATCAGGGGGAGTGGTTATAATTGAAGAAAGATTCATGTGTTAAGAATAAATCGACCTAAATTATTGTATAGAAATATGCACACTTTCACTAATTAAATCCATCATGTGTGTCTCACCCAGCACCCCCTCACTCCCCCCTGCCTTGGGGAGAAGTGAGCTCTTTGATTCTCCGCTGAGCTTTTGCATGAATGTACAGGACTCCAGCACACGCTCGTTAGTGTCTTTAGTTCACAACTGCCAAAATCTGCAAAGTTCCATCATTTGAAAGTAAAAATATGTGATTAAAACACTAGCTTTTTATTATTTCTTTTAAATAGAGTTTCATTGATAGCTTTCTGGTTTTTTGTCTTGTTCGATTTTGTTTTTTCCCCTTTTTGAGAGAGAGTCCCGGAATGAGTTATAAATTGTTAGGTTTGTATCTTATTTCCTCATTCAGTGGTAAAAATCATTTTATAACTCAAAATTAAGCTTTTGGTTAATCTTCCAGCTTATAACTTGGTGTAAGCCCTCTTTTTACACCATTTTCAATACTTGATAAAACTTTAAATGTTCACTTTTTCCTAAAGAACTCTAATTTTTCCACAAGTCTAGATTAATATAAGGTGTTGATATTTAAGGCACTTGGGAGAGTAGGTGGTAAGGCTGTTATACATTTAAGGTAAGAGGAGATTAATTATCTTCCAGGAAATTAGTGAACAGACTTAATCAGTATTATGCCTTCCTTGAGTTTCCATTACTGGAAGATTAACTTCCGTTAGATTTGAAGTATTTTTTAAAATATTTCAAGTACATCTGAGATACTTCTACTAATCCTTGAAACAGAAGCAGTCAGACAGTATTTCTATCCTGACTGAGATATGGGAAATTACTCTGTGTACTAAATGTCAGGCAATGAAAATACAAGTTTTTATGTAGGAAATACAGCTCATTAAGAAGAGGTGTTTTTCTCTTCCTGGGTTGGTTTGTTTATCCATCTCATATCAAAATATAAAAAACAACTTCAAATCTAAGCAAGGGTAACTTAGCCTTAATAAATTCTACTTTGCTTCTGAGCAGCATCCTTCTGCCTTTGCTTAGAAATTCTTCATTTGGTGGATTGCTGCATTGAGTCATTCTTGCAGACCTGGGTCTTTTAAACTTATGATTTGCCCAGAATCTAAAATTACCTTTTTCTTTTAGTTAACTTTTAAAAACCTTTCCTCCTAAATATGTGACTTGAGAAAAAGATAACTTAGTAATTTTGCATGAGAATTCTTTGAATTTATGATTACTAACTACCAAACTATAAACTGCTGCCCAGATTAATTACTTTTTGTTTTTATTTTCATTACTTTTTCATAAATATGGACAAAGCTCTTTTTTTTTTTTTTTTAAGTCCTCAGTATTCATTCTTGTTCTTTTTTGTCATATAATATAATCTTATAAAATTACTTTGCCTGGACAGACACAGTCAATTTTTTCCTTTGATATGATACGTTGTTCAGATGAGGTATAAAACATCCATTTTTATTCTCGAGACTTTTCCTTTAATTCCCAGATGAATGGAGAGAATAATGTCAGTCAAGTCTGAGATGATACATGGAACCTGTTAATGGACTTTGAACTTTCTGTTTCAGTCCTGTGTGGAAATTGAGTTTTACTGATCTAGAGAAAGATGAAAATTAGATATTACCATGTATTTGTGCAGCATAAATTTTAATATTACGTTGGATATACAGTTTCTTTTTTTTTTTAAGTATTAAAAAACCAACCTCTCTTTTCTTCATTTCTCTTTAAAAAAAAAAAAATCTCATTGATATACACCTAGGCCTTCTCATTTTTAACTTGTTAAATATTTAGGTAAGAACTGTGATTGGAAAAGGAATTAATTATTATACAAATAGATCTGGTAGCTATGTGAGTGGAGTATTAATTTTGCTTGAAACAGAAGTATATTTTCTGCTTTGGAACCTCACCAGAGTTATCTGTCATGAATTATGTGTATAAGAATTTCTCTTTATTGCCTGTTAGCCATGTATTCTTTCTGAATTAGAGTAAATAAGTTCAATTTGTTAGCTGAACTTCATTATCTGCCATTTTATGGAAGCAGCATAACATTCTTCGTGGGAACCAGAGCTGATTGTCACCAAAAGGTTATATGACAACTCTGTCCTAAGACTTATACCTATTATATAGGCTTATATCTTTTTCCTTATGCCTCAGCTCTGTACCTGACAGTTTATGATTCAGAGGAGCCAAGCTAGAAGGAACAAAAGTCATCTAAGGTTGTGATAAAGATGAATTCCTGGGTGTTACTTGCACAGATGGGGTGATACCCTGGAATTTAAAACAGAATAGTAGTGGAGGAGGAGACGGCTGCTCCAGATGGCTCTTGGGTTTAGTACAATTGTGGTTAAACAAGATTTTTTATATACGAAGCTTGATTCTACAACCAAAATAATAGAAATGGGGGGAAAATCATGTCTGCTTATGCTTTTTAAAAGCTTATAGTTTAAGTAAAATAAATTGTAAAAACTGATTACCTTAACCCTATACAAGTCTGGCAATGAGCTCTGCATGAGGAAATGGAAGGAAGAATACTAAAAATGATTCTAGGAAGGTGGGTGTGAGGAAGGAAAATGGGTTTCCCTTTTCTGATCATGGGCTCTGAAAGTATTCATTGCCTCTACCAGCATTCAGTATAAACCAGAGATAAGAATATATGTACTCGCGTGTGTCCGTGAGTGTGTGTGTGTCTGAGTGTTTGTTATTCGAAAGAGCTTGTAAATATTGTAGTTGTTTAAAATGGAAAATAAAAGCTGAGATTGTTTTTTTCTTTGCAAATATATTGCATCAAAAATACAGTATTGACAGTGGATAAAACACTGAGGAAATAAATTTTTTTTTCATTTTGCCTTCTGTCCATTTTTGTCAAATTAAGAAAAATTAGAATACACCGTATTAAGCCCTGCATTGCATATTTTTAAAACATCTGCTTGGTTCTGAAATAACTTAAACAGAAGCCTTGGCCTATACACATGTGATCCAGCTTATGATAGAAACGTACATATTTCATATTAAAAGGATATCTTTTCACACATGGTAGGAAAGTTGTAGTTTACATCTTCTGAATTTATCTAAATGTGTCATATTAATGATATAATATTAGATGGAACATGTAGAATGATAAAAATGCATCTGTGTTCACTATGTTACACTAAATTATAATACAGAAAAAGGAAAGAACATTTGGATTGTGATCATTAAAATCAGGCAAATGCTAACTTGGGGTGTGTACTAACCCACTGATTTCATGTATATAACTTAAAGAAAGTGCAAGCTGACTTACAATGAGAATAGATATGCTCTTGATTAAATCATTTATTAGGCCTTTAGTGAATCATTTTAACTGTTAGTAACAACCTGAACCAGCAGAACGCAGAACGTGTGCTGTCTGCCTGGAGTCCCACACAACTTGCTGTCTTCCTGCCGGATCACAGTGGCACACCTGGGAGTGTAGTGGGATCCAGTCTCGAAGGACAGTGGTTTTTCTAGTGACAGAAAACATGTCAGTTAAATGAAACTCATCCTCAAAGAAAGGAATTCTCTGGGTACATGAGCTACATTAATCTGAGAGCCAGAGATCCAAAGGGCAGTTGGCATGACATTTTTGTCCCATAAAACCTCTTCATTATTCTTAAAGTGCAGTTTACTTAGGATTTTTCCTCCTGAAGCATCCAGAGGTGTTTTGCTAATTTTCTAAGCTGGTCACTGACAAAAGAAACAGAATCACCATGACTGGCTCAGACGAATCAGAGCCTAGCCCTGAACCTGGAGTCCATTCCCCAAACTGTACGGTTGCTGCACGATGTGTGCAGAGGAGTTGATCACAGTGTCCACAACACATCTGTACATAGTTTTCCAGAACTTGAGTATTGTTTTCAAGAAACAGAGACTCAGACCACCTAAGAAATAAGGTGTTTCTTTTAGGATGCATCTGTAGTAGACCTAGAACAGAGTGTCAGCAGAAGCTGAGGTGGACATAGGTCTGATACTTGCTCTCTTTTTCTCAGGGCTGCCTTACCTCTCATGACACTTCTGCTTTTCTCCATGTGAATTATGTCCTTCCTTAAATTATTGGGAAAAAACATTTACCAGTGAAACCCCCAGGACCTAGAATAATCTTTTGGAGAAGGCTTTTAATTATGGATTCAGTTTCTAAAGGACTATTCAGATTTTCTATTCTTTTTTTAGTTAGTTTTGGAAAGTTAGGTTTTTCTACGGCAGCAGTTTTCAACTTTTTGATCTTGGAGTACTTTTACATTTTAAATAAGTATTGAGCCCTCCTCCGCGCAACCTCCACCCCCCCAAGAGCTTTTGTTATGTGGTTTATCTTTATTGCATTAGAAATTAAAACAACACATTTTAAAGATATTGTTATTTCTAAATGAATTAATAATAAACTCATGTTAACAGAATATTTTTATTTAAAATAATGTTTTAAATTAAAAGGAAATTGTATAAAACATCTGAACTCCTGTCTGCTGCTACATACAATGTGTTGCATTATATTGTTTTGGTTGAAGCCTATGAAGAAAATCTATCATATATATGTATAGTTGGAAGAGAGAGGAGCGTTTTAGTAGCTTTTTCACTTAGTTGTTGATATTCTTATTTTGATACATCACTAAAATTTGACAAGTAGTAGTTTCGTAAAGTTTAGTTGCAATGTGGACTCCCATTTTTACTGGATTACATTAAAATCCATTGGTTTATCTTACTTGGAATGGATCTTTTACCTGTGTGATTTTGTAACATCATTTATTGATTATTTAGAACATAATAGTTCCCTGAGTTATGCAGATCTTCCAGATATTGACACATTTCATTATACAATATTTAAAAATCACGTGTTCATATCAACATTGACTTTATCAGGGAGCTGTAAAGCTTATAGTGGCAGATACAAGTTTTCTAAAATTCTAATTTCTGATTGAAAGCTCAAATTTTATCATTGGTAACAAATATTGCCGGTTGTTTTCCTTGAAGCAACAGGCTCACTTCATTTTTGAGAAAATACCTATCAAGTACAGAAGTCCGAATAGCCGTAGTTTGTCTCTTAGTCATTTGTTCAAGTAAAAATGGCATTCCCTGAAGAAAAGTGACTAACTCAGCTCATAATCACAAAAGGGCTGTTCTTTGAGAAAACTGTAGTCTGGTATGCTGCAGAAGTGCTTTGTGCATACTTCCCATTTCACCCTAAAGAACATAAAAAAGATGTGCCTTGAAGGAACAGGATTTAATAAAATTAATTTTTACTGCTTCATCAAGGACATTCTTAAGTGAAGTTGATCTTTCCCCCTGCGAGTGCACGGTGGTAAAGAATACAGTGGCTACTAGTACAGTTGGGTGCCGTTGCCTTAGCTCCTGCTAAGGCACCGGCGGTTTTACCACTTCTTTTGCACAATTATTACAAATGTCAATACAGTGAATAAGGCAGATGATGTTAGTATTATTGTGAAAATATTTTTTTTAATAAGCCAGGTAGAGAAAGACGTGCCATATGATTTCATTCATGTGGAAGATGAAAATAATTTTGATCTCATCGATTCCCCTGAGAGGGTCTTGGGCACTCCCCAGGGTCTGCAGACTATACTGTGAGAGTCACTGTTGCAGAAATACATCCCCCTCATTTTCATTTTCAAATTTATTGGCATAAATTAACTCATAATATTCTTTCACCTGTATAGTGTCTGTAACATCTGTAGAGATATCCCCTTTTTCATTCCTGATACTCATTACTTTTGCTGTCTCTTTCTTAATTAGCCTCAAGGAGAGATTATCTTTTCAAAGAACCAACTTTTGGCTTTGTTCATCCCTTGTATTTTTTGTTTACCTATTTATTTCCACATTTATATATATATATTTTTTTAATAATTTTTATTTATTTATTTTTCCCCCAAAGCCCCAGTAGATAGTTGTATGTCATAGCTGCACATCCTTCCAGTTGCTGCATGTGGGACACGGCCCCAGCATGGCCGGAAAAGCGGTGCGTCGGTGCGCGCCCGGGATCCGAACCTGGGCTGCCAGCATCGGAGTGCACGCACTTAACCACTAAGCCACGGGGCCGGCCCTCCACATTTATATTTATTCTTTCTGGTTTAGTTTGCTATTTTTCTAACTTCTTGAGATGGACACTTAACTTTAGGTTTTACTATATGCATTTTAAGACAATACATTTCTCATTAAGCATTGGCACTAGCTGCATCAAACAAGATTTGATATGTCATATTTCCATTACCAGTCATTACTATGAATTTCCATTATTATTATTTTTTTTTTCCCCCCAAAGCCCTGGTAGATAGTTGTATGTCATAGTTGCACATCCCTCTAGTTGCTGTATGTGGGACGCGGCCTCAGCATGGCCAGAGAAGCAGTGCGTCGGTGCGCGCCCGGGATCCGAACCCGGGCCGCCAGCAGTGGAGCACACGCACTTAACCGCTAAGCCACGGGGCCGGCCCTCCATTATTATTTCTAATTATCTAATTTTCATTATGATTTCTTTGTTGACCAATGGGATAATTAGACCCAAATTTTCAAATATTTGGAGATTTTCTAGTTATTGCTTAATAACTGGTCAGAGAAACTCTGTATGATATTAATCCTTTGAACTTTGGTTAGCCTTGCTTTGTGTCTCAGTATATTGTCAATTTTAGTAAATGTTCCAATGGGCATTTGGGGAAAAAAATGTGCATTCTGCAGTTATGAAAGCCTCCTATATCGTATATATCAATTAAGTCAATGTTGCGTTATTCAGATCCCATATATTATTGATTTTTTTTTTTTTTGGTGTATAGTTATAGATTTATTTCTCATTTTACTTCTATCCAGTTTTGATTTATATATTTTGAGGCTGCATGAAGTGCATATAAATTTAGAAGATTTCTTTTAATTGATTGACAACTTTAATCATTATGAAATGCCCTCTCATCTCTAGTAATACTTCTTGCCCTAAAGTTTACTTTATCTGATGTTAGTACAGCTTAACAGGTTTGTGTAGTATAACTTTACCTGTTCTTTTACTTTCAACTTTTCTATCTCTTATATTTAGGGTGTACTCTTATAAACTACCATATAATTAGGATTTTTTATTTAGTTTGACAGTCTTTGCCTTTTAAATGGAGTATTTAATCCATTTACACTTAAGAAAATTATTAGTATTTTTAGCTTAAATTTACCATCTCACTATTTGTTTCCTTTTTGTTCCATCTTTTCTGTGTATCTTTTCACTCCTTTCTTGCCACATTTTGGAATAAGTCATTTGCATTATTATACTTCTCTTTTTGCTTATTACCTATACATCTTTTTATTATTCTTTTAGTGGTTATTGAAATTGCACCTTGTCTACTGAGTACCTCACCATCTCCTGGACTGACTCCATTACTACCTTCCCATCTTTTGCACATGCATTTTTAACTATATATATATTTTTTTGTGTATGTGAGGAAGATCAGCCCTGAGCTAACATCCATGCCAATCCTCCTCTTTTTGCTAAGGAAGACTGGCCCTGGGCTAACATCCATGCCCATCTTCCTCCACTTTATATGGGACGCCACCACAGCAGGACTTGATAAGCAGTGCATCGGTGCACGCCCAGGATCCAAACCTGGGCAGCCAGCAGCGGAGCGTGCGCTACGCCATGGGGCTAGCCCCTAACTCTGTATATGTTTTAAACTAACTCTGTATATATTTTAAACTTCAAAGACATTATTATCATTTAGTATAGTAAATATTAATTTAGATTTATACACATATTTACTCTTTCTATTGTTCTTTGTTCCTTTCCATATTTTTGTGGTTTCATTTCGGATAATATTCCTTCTGTCCAAAGAACTCCCTTTACTGTTTCTTGGT